GGAGCAGCCATTCTGACTCTGCTGACTCCAGTCCTCAACTTGTATCAAGCTCCATGGAATGCTTGCTGCCATCGGAGCCGGGGAAGTGTGAAGTTTGGCCGACAGTTGTATTGCTATCAGGTACAAGCTGAATGCACTGATTGATCGAGATATGAGCTCTCTGATGCTGACCCATGACGGTGTGCTCAAGGTGATATGGAACTGGAACGATTACTGCAACGAGTGGGGCGTCAACTGCGAAGATGTCTTCCAGGCCTACACGCTGGCTCCCAAATGTGGGAAACACCTCGTTGGCAGTGTCGAAGGGCCCAAATTCAGGACCAGGAGTGAATGTGAGCAACTGTTGAATCCGGTGTCATCGACTGCTGACCGTGATTCCTCCTCCAAGAAACGAAGAACGATCAGGCTCCTCGAGCATGCATGGTTATGACTGTTCCTCTTCTTGCCGTGCGAGAGCCTGTTTCGGAAGACGAGCTGCGACAGATGGTGCTTGGCATTCGCAAGGCTTTAAAGGCCTTACATGGTGCTGTTGAGGCTCGTCTATCTTTGGGAGCTTGTAGTTTCATGTGGCTGTGCAGGCTTGGTGCATCGCGACATTCGACCAGCTAATGCTTGTATGACTACGAGCGAAGAAAGTTGATCTAGAAGGCGTGTGCACAGTAGGGATGGAAAATGCTGGGTCGTTGATGCATAAGCATTATCCTCGTCTTCTAACCAGTCAGGCCCTTCAAGCTCTCATAAAGGGACTGTTAGGCAAATCGTATAACACTGTGGAAGGTGTTTTGAGTGACGAATGGCTCCGAGTTATTGGATCCGCGTAATATCATCTATAGAAACGAAGAACACACTCGATACCTGGAAGGTGATAATCTCGCCTCTTTAGAGCTGAAGTTTTGATTGGTACTGTGGATTTTTTATTAATGCAAAGCCATCCAAGCAAGTCTCCAAGGTTGCCTCTAGAATGGAGCAAAGATCACGAAATGGAAAGCGACGGCTACTGGAAAGATACGAGCATTTTCTTTCCTCGTACGTGAATGGTGGCCGTCGGATGGAGAAAATCCGACGGCGCAGGATCATTCATCATTGGGACGTACTAGTAGACCGGACGCTCTCTCAGCGAGGTTTTTCCTTCAGCAAGCGAGAAGAAGAGCGAGAGCGCAGCTATGGAGTCGAGCGGCGGCGAAGCTTATCCATCTGGCCAGAGCTTTCCTTCTCGCTTTTTTTCTCTCATCACTTCGTTTCTTATATTTGTTCGAGCGTATCTTCGCAGGTTCTTACGAGGAAGACAGTCCTCTGTCGAGTTACATCCCCTCCAATCAGCAGCGGCAGCGGCGGAATCGCGAGGAGCTGCCAGGTTCGCACGAAGCGCTCCAAGCCGCGCAGGAGTACCAGCAACATCTTGCAAAGAAGAGTCGCAGCACCATTAAAGTCTTGAACCAGTGCTGTGTGAGCGGCACATACGTTATGGTAAGCGAAGAACAAGCTCGAGGTTTATGTTTCGCTATCTTTGTCTTTTTTCCCTTCGATATCTTCACAAAAAACTTTCTTTTCTTCTTTATTTTTTTTTCTGCAGACTCTTCCTTCGAACTACTGCAAGAAGATGATGCCGCACGGGAGAGCCGAGGTGATCGTCCGCGACCGGAGTGGTCACCAATGGAGGATGAGATGGAACTGGACGATGCAGCCAGTGATCGGTGCCGGGTGGAAAGCCTTCTGCGTCCATCACGAACTCGTCAAGGGAGACGTCCTCGTCTTCCAAAAGGAGAACTCCTCCTCCGAGATGATCACGTTCCGCGTCGAGATATTCAAGCGCCAGTGATCGCGCCAACGCCGCCAACATAGTGTTGCTCCCGCCAAAGAAAGAACCAGACGGGCTGGAGATCGAGATCGAAGAACTCGGCGGAGTAGCCACCGGAGGAGACGTCCATGACTACGACGTCTTCGAGCGCAATCCCAAGAGGACGAGGGGGCTCCTGAGGAGAGAATGGGTGGAGAACTCACACTCGTGCAACCAGGAGGTGGCGGGCGAGGAGGAGGAGGGAGTGGCAGAAGGGATGGGAGGCGGAGAAGAGGCGGCGGAGGAGCGGCGGCAGCAGCGCCACGAGCCAGTGGTGGCGCTGGTGCTCAAAAAGACGAGGTCGGCAGCCGAGTCCGAGGAGCTTGGGATGAGCTTCAAGATGCAGGGGAGCAAGCTCCAGCGCATGTGTAGGAGTGTGCTGGGCTCGCCTGGATCAATCGTGGAGGGGAGCTCCACTGGATCGCTCAAGGCTAAAGTGTCCAAGGAAGAGCTGAGGAAGATCCTCAACCTGGCATTTCCTCTCTACGATGCCACTCCCTTCTAGAATGGATGAAATTTGATCCAAAACTTGAGAATGATTTATGTGCCACTTCAAGAATTTGAAAATTATGATTCTAGAAATAATGTATAAATATTAAGTATGCTAAAGAATTTTTTATAAAAATATAAAGCATAATTTTTTATTAGAAGAGAAGATGAAATAAATAATTTAATAAAAATTTACTATATTATTTCTAAATTTTTAGTTAAAAATCTTTATATTATCATGTTTAAGTTTTAATATATTTTAATTTAATGCATTTACACTATTAAATTCTGAGTATTTTGGGGTGGATAACCTTGTACAAAAATTTGCACGCTTGCAAAATATATAAAAATAAAACATATATGTGCTTAAATTGTTGTGACACACGTATGTGATTCACAAAATAATATTTAAGCAAAACTTTTTTCTTATGCATAGGTGTTTGTTACATATCCATGACAAAATTCAAATTAATGCTATGTATACAATTTTTTATGTTTCCATGCTAGATTTTGTTTTTGTGATATTTTTCAATATGCAAGCTAGATTTGAAAATTTTGTGGGCTCTTTAGGCACTCTCTTTAATAAAAGTAATGAAAAATGCTTTGCAAACTAATGATTTTGCAACAAATGAAAAAATTTTTGCATGAGTGAACACTAGAGAAAGCTACAAAATTAAAAGAAGATCAAAGAATTGTTTTGCCCTTACATTCCAATCAATCTAACTTGCCAATGTGCTTCAATTAATTGCACTTGTTGCCACACTCCAATTAATTACACTCACCACCACACTCCAATTGATTGTGCTTTCTAATTAATCACACTTTCTGCTACACTAAAGTGAAGCATTGTGCTGCAAATAGATTACAAAATGAAAAGTGCAATAAATAAATTGAAGTAGAGTGTTTATATTAAGGTGCATTACACCTTTAAGCCATGAGAAATGTAGTGCATGTATATATTGTTACCATGGATCTTTAAAACTTTGGGGAATAAATAAGGATAAAATAACTATTAAAGACTCTCTCATTAAACAATTGCCCATTTTTCAGTTAGTTTAGAAGGAGAGAGATAAGGTGCATTATATCTTGTATTAGAGAAATGGAAAATTAAAATCATATGTATTGGAAAGTGATTATATGCATAATATTTTTAATAGAGATATACCTAGTTCTTAATATTTTTAATCATTAATCAAAAAATTCATATTTACTTTAGCAAATACTAAATCATAATATATTTTTCATTTTCTTATAAATGAAGGTATGACCATAAATTATAAGTAACCCAAAACAGCTTAGACCAGAATAAAATAAAGAACATTCGTACTGACAAGTTGTCAAAGTTATATATGCCTCCCTTTGTCTCAACCCTTTTCAGTTTGTATATAACCTAAGATCCATCGACAAGTAGTGCAATGGGGAGCATCAATGCAGTGGAGGCTAGCACGTCCAAAAGTTGTCCCAAAGATTCAAAAAGCAAATCTAGCAAGGACAAGGACCCGCCATCACAGTTGCCACCACCAAAACCAAGATTTCTTCGTTTAGTGAAATAGATTGCTCCAATAGTTGTTGTGTAAAAGGAAAATACATTTCTAAGTTAAAATACATCTCAAGACATCAGTTCTTATCAGTTTTCCACTAGAAGGCATCATAGTGAGGAAATGCCAGGCGCAGGACCTTCCTCAGCTCTTCTTCGGATGCTTTAGCCTTGAGCGATCCATCGAAGCTGCCCTGCACGATCGCTCCGGGCGAGCCCAGCAGGCTCCTAGTCATGCGCTCGAGCTTGCTCCCGTGCATCTTTACGGTCACCCCGAGCTCCTCGGACTCGGCTGCCGACCTCGTCTTCTTGAACACCAGCGCCACCACTGGCTCGCGCTCCTCCTCTGCGCCTCCCGTCCCTCTCTCCTCGTCGTCCTGGTCGCACGATGGCGAGTTCTCCATCCATTCTCTCCTCGGCGGCCTCGTCGTCCTCTTGGGGCGGCCGGGATTGCGCTTGACGACGTCGTGGTCGTGGGCGTCTTCTCCGGTGGCTCCTCCATCGAGTTCTTCGATCTCAATCTCCAGCTCTTCTTCTTTCTTTGGCAGGGGCAGCGCCATGTTGGTCCCGTTGTTCATGACCACTGTGCCATTGGCGAACTTGCGGCGCTTGAAGATCTCAACGTGGAAAGTTATCGTCTTGGAGGAGATGTTCTCCTTTTGGAAGACGAGCACGTCCCCCTTGACGAGTTCGTGATGGACGCAGAATGCTTTCCATCCGGCACCAATCACTGGCTGCATCGTCCAGTTCCATTTCATCACCCACTGGTGGCCACTCTTGTCGCGGACGAGGACCGGGGCTCTCCCCCGCGGCATCATCTTCTTGCAGTAGTTCGAAGGAAGAGTCTGCGGAAAAAGAAAAAAGAAGAAAGAACGATTAGCAATTTCTTGTGAAGATATCGTAAGCGTGGAAAACATGCTTACCATAACGAATGTGCCACTCACACAGCACTGATTTAAGACTTTCACAGTGCTACGACTGTTCCTTGGGAGCTGTTGCTGGTACTCCTGCGCGGCTTGGAGTGCTTCCTGCGAACCGGGCAGCTGCTCGCGATTCCGCCGCTGCCGCTGCCGATTGGAGGGGATGTAACTCGGCGGAGGACTGTCTCCCTCGTAAGAACCTGTGAAGATACACTCGAACAAAAATATAAACTTTAAGCAGAAACGAAGAAAAGAGAGGGAGAGAGATAGAGCGAGAAAAGCTCTGACCAGATGGATGAGCTTCGCCGCTGCCGCTCGACTCCATAGCTGCGCTCTCGCTCTTCTTGCTTCCCGTGGCTTGGAAGAAGGAAAAACCTCGTTGAGAGAGCGGGCGTCCGGTCTAGTAGTACGTCCAAATGCTGCATCCTACGCCGTCGGATGAAGCCCATCCGACGGTCGGCATGCAAATAACAGGAATCGTATCTTTCTAGTAGCTGTCTCCATTCTAGAGGCAACCTTGGAAACTGGCGTGGACCTGGAAACATCCACAGATCAATCGCTTTCATTTTAAACTCCAGCACCCTGAGCTAGAATCTCTTAAGAACGTAATCACTTACTTGATCACTTTGGTGGCTTCCTTGAGCTCTGGAGTCCTAAGTTGCTCCTCCCACATTCCCGAGTTCCCACGCAAGTTCTTTGATCCATTCTAAATGCAACCTTGGAGACTTGCTGGGATCGTTTTAGACCTGGAAACATAAGAAACAGTCACAAATCAATCAACCGGAAGTTTTCGCTTACTTGATCACTTTCGTGGCTTCCTTAAGCTCCAGCGTCCTGAGTTGCTCCTCCCACATTCCCAAGCTCCCATACAAGTTGGCCATCAAGACGTAGCTCGCTTCGTGCCTGGGATCCAAGTCAACAGCGCTCTGGAAAGCAGCGCGTCCAATCTCCAAGTTGTTCCACTTCTTACACCCGGCCAGCACTGTCTTCCAAGTCACGAGGTTGGCCTCCACCGGCATTCCCTTGACAAACTCCAGTGCCTCGTCCAGATGGTTTGCTCGCGCCAGCAAATCGACCACGCAGTGGTAGTGTTCCAAGTCCGGCTCGACACCATACTTTTGCTTCATGTCCCCAAAGTAGCGCTTCCCTGTGTCAACCAGGCCAGCATGGCTACACGACGTAAGAATCAAAACGAAAGTGATACGATCACCTCGCAAGCCTTCGTCGAGCATTCTCTCAAACAGCTCCAGCACTCTGACCGTGTCTCCCTGCCGGCTGTAGCTCGCCATGAGCGAGCTCCAAGTCACCACGAGCTTCCTGCTCGCCAGTGACTCAAAGACGCGCTCAGCATCGTCGAGGCGAGCGCACTTGCCGTAGAGATCCACGAGAGAGCTTGCTACGTACGTCCCGGCTTCCAGTCCCAGCCTGCAAATCCTTGCGTGGAGCTCTTTGCCAGCTTCTAGCGATGGCACGCTGCCGCAAGCGACCAGTGCAGCGATGAAAGTCCGAGAGTTTGGCTCGCAGCCCCGGGACTGGATTAGTTCGACGAGCCCTAGAGCAATCTCGACGTGACCGTTCTCCGCGTATCCCGAGACGAGTGCCGTCCAAAGTACCACGTCGTGATGCTTCATTCTATCGAAAACCAGCCGAGCGTCACCCAAACTTCCACACTTGGAGTACATCTCCACCAGGCTGCTTGCCACGAACATATCGGTATCACATCCTCTTTCTCGAGCCTGGGCGTGAATCGCCATGCCTTGCTCAAGCTGTCTCAGCTTCACAAACTCTTCTCTCACCTCTTGGCCTTCTTCCTTCTCCGCCAAGCTCGCGCAGGCCATGAAAGCGGCGACGTAGCTTCTTGGGTCTGGTCCTTGCAAGCGAGAGAACAGGCGTAGAGCCTCCTCGCTCGCTCCGTTTTGCACATAGCCCAGCATCAGCGCGTTCCACAGCACCACGTCCGGATGTAAGATCTTGTCAAAGACTGCTCGAGCGTCAGCCAGGCTCCCACAAGTCGTGTACATGTCGACCAAGCTGCTCGCCACAAACTTGTCCGACTCAAACGCATACTTGCAAGCCTGACGGTGAAGAGCCACACCCCGGCTCAAGCTCCTGGACTTGACAAGCTTTCCATCCGCTTCCTCTTCGGCTCCCAAGCTCGAGCATGCCATCAAAACGGCAACGTAAGTTCGAGCGTCCGGCTTGCACCCTCCCGTGCTAGTGTCCATCCTGCTAAACAGCTCTAGAGCCGACTCATCGTCCCCAGCCTCCACATATCCCTGTATCATCGCGTTCCAGAGAATCACGTCTCGGTGCCGAGTGCTCTCGAAGACGTCGATGGCACTGGAGAGTCCCCCGCACTTGGAGTACATGTCCACCAGCGAGCTCGCCACGAACACGTCCGATCCAAACCCGTGCTTCACCGCCTGACTGTGAATCAAAGCTCCCTGGTTGAGCCACTCCAGCTTGAGCTCTCTTACGTCCGACTTTGCTCCAAGGCTGGCACAGGCCATGAGAGCCGCGACGAAAGTCCGAGAGTTTGGCGGACACCCGGAGCAGTGGTGCTGCATGCGTTGAAACAAATCCAGAGCCTGCTCGGGCTCGCCGTTGTCCACGTATCCCAGCATCAAAGACGTCCACGAGACAACGTTCCGGTCTTTCAGGCCATCGAAAACCAGCCGGGCCTCGGTGACGCTCCCACACTTCGCGTACATATCGACGAGAGCGCTGGCCACGAAAACGTTGGATGCCGAACCGGCCTTTCGAGCTCGAGCGTGGATCTCTCTTCCTTCTTGCAAGCACCGAAGCGTCTTCTCCGTGTTATCTCGCCTGCCACCATTCTCCTTGGCTGTCTGGCTCGAGCAGGCCATGAGCGCTGCCACAAAGCTGCGAGCGTCCGGTTCGCAAGTCATGCGTGAGAAAAGCTCGAGACCCAATCTCCCTTCCCCGTTGGTGGCATAGCCCCGGATCAGAGCGTTCCAAGACACCAAGTCCGGAGACTCCATGCTGTCGAAGATGTTGCGAGCATCTACCATGCTTCCGCACCTCGCGTACATGTCGATCAGAGTGTTGGAGACGTAAATGTCCGCGACTTGGCCAGAAAACCGGTGAACTCGTCTGCCACTTTCGAGGTCCCTGGAAACGCTGCATGCTTTGAGGGCGGCGAGCAAAACTGGGACGCTGGCAAAGACCCGCGTTTCCGGAGCTACAGTGTTTCTCAATGGGTTGAGGCGCGCACCGAGAGAAAGCTGCAAAACACGGCAAGAGTTTGCATTGGAACAGCTGCGGAAGGAGAGATACTTACGGTCTTGCAACGCTCGAGGTAAAAACGTGTTGGGCATTGGAATGCGATCCTGCTTGTCATGCTCAAGCTCCCATCGCTGGTATCTCATGTTCGTGTCATCTACCATGAACCCTAAGCTCACAAACAGAGATGTAGCTCGCAATGATGAAGGCCTATCGGTGTGGCAGGATATGGAGGAGTGTAGAGATAATTTCTTCTGCCTGCGCTTAAAGCATGCGCTCACAACCAATGTGTCTCTAAAAATGCTGCAAAGAAGGCAAGAGTTAGCATCATGACATAGCCGAATCAGAAAAACGTACACAGTCGCCTCTTGTTTCGTGGCAATGCTCACGACGCGTTAGCCATTTAACCCCTGCTTGTCATCCAACCATATGCCATTTATCGCATTACAAAACAACTATACTTGCTTACCTTTGAGCTCGCAATGACGACGGCAAGCACTGTCCTAGAATACAAATGCTACGCGAGGAAAAGTACACCAAAGTTGCATAAAACGAAACATTATTTCCTAGCAGCTTGTCTACTACCTTCCTGAAGCATTTCCTGGTGAATCTTTGCGTTGATTTTCTGGGGATCAATCTTCACCTGATACAGGCAAAGGTCAGTTAAGACAATCGAATTACTTGTAGCCGACCTGATCCTTGAAGTGCAAAAACTGCTCCTTGGTCTCAATAGCTTTGATCCGCATCAAGTAGTGCTGCCTGTACCACATCACCGTGTCAATGTGGACCTTGTGCAAAACAGCCAGTTCTAGCGCTCTGTAAACGGCAGTCAGTTTGTGACCCTGAGATTGAAAAAAAAACAACCTGTCCCAGTTGAAGAGCTTTAAGTTCATGTGGATTGCCCGATAAGTGAGCCCAGCTTGCAGTAAAATCGACTCGGCTTTGTCCGGGTGCCTTTTAAATAATGCAAGTTCTGCCTGTCGTGCTTCTTCTACGGGAAGATCCTTCAGATAAAGCATAAACTGCACCTTATCCACCTGAATGTTTCCACTTAAGGTGGCCGTCAATACACGAAATAAAAACTGCAAACCTCGTCCAGAGCTGCATAAGCCTCTTCCGCAATGTTCAGCTCCTGGGCATCGACTGCCATCGTTGCCAAGCAAGCCCAAAGTAAATCCTCCTGCAGCACACACAATCTTGCTATTAAGAAAAAATTTCACGGGGATGACAAACCTTTACGAATCTACAGAGCTGGGCCGCATACTCCCACTGTCTGGAGTTCACATGCTGGAACAAAACGAACGGATACGGGCATATGTACGAAGAAACTATGGCTCCATCTGTTCGTCGTAAGATGCAACTAGAAGTAACAAAGCTTCGAATTTTTGGATTCTTGCCGAGATCACTGCGTGTAGCATCAGATAGAAATATGGCAGAAAGCGAGAGAAAGTGAAGGAAAAACGCTTACCACTCTTTTATTACTTTTACTCGATGAAGAAGGTCTCGATCAACAAAAGCAGCCAATGGACAATACCATACAATCAGTTTCTGGTCCGCGATAGCAGCGATTATGTCGGCCTCGTCATTCCATCTCACGTTGTCAACAATAGTAGCCAGTTTAAACACCTCGTGCTTGTGCTGGCAGAAGCATTAGAGATTATGAGAAAAACTAAAATCTTGCAAACTTACATATACGGGAGTTATAAAGAGGTCTTGGTTGCGGTCAATAAACGCAATTCTCCTGATAGTTCCCACTTGATTGAGGGCGATTTCTTTTATTTCAACAGTATGTCGAAATGGTTCACCAGCAAGCTTTCCCGTCGACGCATCCAAAAACCGAATTACTGCAGGATTTCAAATCAGTTTTATGGACTGGCAAAACACAAACCTGATCTACTGATTTTAATTTAGTTGTGAACCTGGTATGACAGAAGTCTCGTAGACAACCTACATCTATGGTCGGATGTATCTATAAACGCCACAGTGTCTGTTGAAATAGCAACATTGCGCTCGAGCAAAAACTCTGGTCGCAGTCCTGCAAGAAAAACATGTCTACGTCGATAGAAACTTCAGTGTTTACAGATACCTTGACATTTTGGGCTTGAAAGATGCCGACCATCATAGGTGAACAATTGCAAGCCCACAAAACTGTCGATGATCATGAAGTACCTTTGGCATAATTTTATAAGAATGATGGCATACTTGACATCAATTACGTGTGGAGCGTTTAAATTTGAAACCGAGTAGATGTAGCACTGCAAGTCATGCCAAATTGTTAGCGTGGCCACAGTAGTCACGATTCAGTTACCTGGTTAGTAGTCGCAACGATCAAGTGGCGAAACTCCAGACGAAATTGAACAACCCGGTCACAGAACTCCAAGTCAGTCGTATTATTAGTCACCATGTCCTGTCTATATGAGCTTCACCTAAACATGCTTGCCATAAAATTTGGAAAAACTTACATAAACTCTCAAATGTCCACAACCGCGTAGCGTCGCAGACAGTTTTAGCCACTCTAGTTTTCTGCCAGTCTTTATCATCTAAAAAAACAGACATAAAAAGAAAAGAGAATACCTGTCCACGATCTGACCGAATACTACAAAGCCATTCGCACCGGCACCAGCCAGTTGCGCACCGTCGTTACTCCATGAAATTCTTAGAACGGACCCAGCTGAAAGCTTTTCCTTCCAGAGAACCCACTGAAAAGCTGATATGTAAGCTCAAAGAAGAACTCCACTTGAACGTACCCCCGTCTTGTCGCAAAGCCACAACGTGTTGAATGAGCCGACGGCAAAGAACTCCCCAGATGGACACCAGGCAACCGAAGTTATGCTATCGTCAATTTTACTACTCTGATAGATCATTCTCCCATGGTAGTCCCAAACCTATATAGCAAACATAAATGTGAGAACATTTGTAAAAGCTTGTAGATACCTTATAGACACCATCTTCTCCGCCAGATGTAAGAAGGTTCGAAGCATAATTCCAATCAACCGCTAGAATCAGTCCGTTATGACCATCCCAGTGCGACTCCTTGATTGAGGACTGCAATGGAAAACATATTTTTACGCGCTTAGGAGCTGAGTAGTTTACCTGGAAGGATTTGATAATCAACCGTCCCTGGCAAGCAAACAACACCTGATCTGAGCTTGGACTCCATGCAAGGGCGTAGATTGGACAAGCTGAGCCAGAAAATTACTAGAAACCATTGAAAAAAAATAAAACTTACGGCTTTGTGCCAAAGTAGATCGGAGCATTCCACTGCAAGACCATATTTTTACAATCCCGTCCTCCCCACCAGTTGCTAAGGCCGATCCTGCTGATCACGTTACAGAAAACCCATAATCATACGAGTCTGGTACTACCGTCGGTACTCCATCGAACACACAGAATGCTCCCTGCATGAGCTTGGACCCTTTTTTCTTCTTTCCCCGTCCTATTAGAAATATGAAGCGACCCTGGAAAATCTCATTGTTAAAGTTACATAATGAACAAACGCACCGTCAATGCAGGAAACAACAAAAATGTCGCTCCCTGATCCAGTCCGGTTCCAGTGCGAGGTCAAAGGGTAGCATTGCAAATCCGTGGATATAGAGTCTATGTTCTCAAGCTGTACGCAAGATTTATCAGTTGCTATTAGAAAAGAAAAATGAGGACACTACCTTAAGAATGGGCTTCCCATCCCTGTTCCAGCACCATATAGCGTAGTCATCACCGCAAGAGTAGAGGTCACTCGTCACATTCCACCCGACGGCAGCTACAAGGCCCTTATCTGAGACCACCAAAAACACGTTATAGAGGGAAAAAGAACGAAGAAAAACGTACGTGTCGTGTTCTCCGCCTTAAACACGGTGATCCGCATTCCTCAGTGATGAGCACCGCGACCACAATAGCCCTAGCGCTTCAGCTGAAATAGGGCTAACGAAATAAGTTAACTAAACTTTACAAAAAGAAACTTACCGGTTGCACTCGGAGCTCGAGCATCCTTGTTCTATTCCGTCTTGTTTGGAACTCCTTGTCAAGATCCCCAGCAACTTGGACTGTTGCTCTCTCATGCCGACAGAACCATAGAGATCTGCCATCAACAAATACGCCGTCTCCTGTTTCTCGCCCATTTCCACCAGCTTCTCGAATGCCTGCTCCCCAAGTTCCACTTTCTTCCACTTCCGGCAAGCGGCCAGCATGATCGTCCAGGTGATTTCATTCGCTTCAAACGGCATTCTTTCCACCATCGCTACAGCTTCCTCGAAAAGGTTGGCACGTCCCAGACTGTCCACCATGCAGTGGTAGTGCTCCAGGCCCGGCTCAATCCTGTGGCGAAGCCGCATTGCCTGGAAGAATTCCCTGCCCTGTTCCACAAGACCGGCGTGGCTGCAGGCGGTGAGAAGCGATACGAATGTAACTCCATTCGGCTCCATACCTTCGTCTTTCATCTTCCAGAACGTCGCAAAGACGTGCCTTGCGTCCCCCTGGTGACTGTAACCTTCGATCATAGCACTCCACGTAAAAACCGTCTTGTTCTTCACGGAGTCGAAGACCTGCTCGGCATCACCCATGCTGCCGCAAGTGCCATAGAAGTTGACGAGCGAATTCGCAACGTAGACTTCACTCTCGACTCCAGCCTTGCAAACCAGAGCGTGGACGAGCTGCTTCCCAGTTTGCAGCGCTGCCAGGCTGCCGCAAGCCACCAATGCCGCAACGTAAGTCCGCGGATTTGGATCGCAGCCTTCGAAGATCATGCGCGAGAAGAGCTCCAGAGCTATCTCTCCACTGCCATTCTCTGCGTATCCCATCACCAGAGCAGTCCAGGAGACCACCCCGTGCGATGGCATCTTGTCGAAAACGTTTCTAGCGTCGTCCAAGCTGCCGCAGTTCGTGTACATATCCACCAGAGTGCTGGCGACGAAAGGATCCGAGCCACAGTGACGCTCTTCCACCAGAGAATGGATTGCCACACCTCTTTGGAGACACTTCTCCTTGATGTTCTTGCCACCATTTTGCTTGGCAGGAGCTCTTCCTTTCGTGGCTAAGATCGAGCAGGCCATCAGCACCGCGACGAAAGCTCGGCTATCAGCTTGACAGCCCGAGAGAAGCATCCGCCCAAAAGCTTCGAGAGCTAGCTCGCCATCGCCACTGTCAGCGTAACCATTGATGAGAGTGGTCCAGGAAACGACGTTGGGATGGGTGATCTTGTCAAACACTTGCCTTGCTTGCGCCATTCTTCCGCATTTCGCGTAGAAATCCACCAGGGCGCTCGCCACGAAGACGTCCTCGGAATCAAACCTGCGAGCTCGAGCTTGAGAATGCACAGCGCTGGCAAAATTCATAATCTCTGGGCAGACCTCCTTGCGGCCGTCATCTTCTTCCACCGCCGCTGCCAAGCTCGAGCACGCCTTGATCGCCGCGAGGAGCGACCGGCCGTCGGGCTCAAACCCTGACGATCGCATCCATGAGAACGATTCCAGCGCTAGATGCTCCATGCCGTTGTCGACATAGCCGGCGATGAGGGAGTTCCACGACACGGCGTTTCGATTCGCCATGGCGTCAAACACCGATCGCGCGTCCGCCATGCTCTTGCATTTTGCATACACGCTGACAAGCGTGTTGGAGGCGTGGAGATCGTCCATCAAGCGGTCGATCTGCTGCCAATGGATGTGCTTGGCGGCGTCGAGATCCCTGGAGCTAGCACAGGCGCGCAGCGCACCGATCGTAATGAATCTTTCCAGCGATTCCTGGGCGTCATCACCAATGGGGAAGAGAATCTGGAAGATCTTGAGCCTGCGCAAGCGCATCGACTTGGCGCTCAAGCAAGAACCCTAAACCCTACAAGCGCAAGATGGAGTAGAAATTTCGATGCGGCGATGCCGCCTTCGCAAGGCGGCGCTACCGATCATCGGCCACAACAGAAATGTAAGCTTCCCTCTCGATTTCCTCGATCTCTCCCTCTCACTGCTGTTCTGGAACAAGCTAGGAGGAAGGTTTCTCTTCTCTGGATTCGAAGAAGAAGAAGAAAGAATCGATCATCCTTCACTAGTGGCGGCACTGAAAGCTTGCAGCGCCACCAAGGACCTCGAATCCGGTAAGCGCATCCATTCCCCCATTCTTGGAAGCGATGGTAGCCATTCGCCCGTGACCCAGGTCTCCAACGCGCTGATAAGCATGTATGGGAAATGCCACAGCATGATCGACGCGCGATCCATCTTCGACTCCATGCCTCACAAGGACCTGGTGTCGTGGAACTCTCTGGCTTTCGGCTACGCTGTGAATGGAGAGCCAGGCCGAGCTCTAGAGATCCTTGGAGCGATCCAAGCAAGCGGCACCCTCCAGCCCAATGCCCGGACGTTCCTTGCGGCGCTCTTGGCTTGCTCCAGTCTAGCCGACGAGGAGATCGCCAAGCTCGTCGATGGGAAGCTCTTCAAGTCTTCGTGCTTGGAAAGAACAGTGGCAATTCATCTCGAGGCCGGGAAGCGTGGCTGCCTCGACGTTTACGTATCAACTTCGCTGGTCGATCTCTACGCGAAGTGTGGCAGCGTGTTGGAGGCTGCCCGGGTTTTCCACAGGATGCCGAGCCACAGCGTCGTCTCCTGGAGCACGCTCATACAGGGATACGTAGAGAACCACGAGAACGAGGTGGCGCTGGGTTACTACGAGCTTATGGGAGATTCGAGGATTCCACCCGACTGCCGGACTCACGTCGCTGCTCTGATGGCTTGCTCGAGCTTGGCTCTGCGAGAGGAAGGCCGGGAAGTCAATGGAAAGGTGGTGAAGACGCAGGCGCTGGAGAAGGGAATGGCTGTTCACTCTCGGATTGACAAGCTCGAGTGTACATCGGACGTGATCCTGGCAAGCACGGTGGTCCATTTCTATGCAAAGTGTGGGAGGCTGGAGGACGCCGGCGCAGTGTTTGAGGCAATGCTGCGGCACGACGAGATCTCCTGGAACACTCTGATCATGGGATACGTGGAAAACGGGGAGTACGAGCTAGCTTTGGAGCTTTTCTCGAGAATGAGGCTGGAGAAATGCTCGTCTAGTCGAGCGACTGTTGCCGTTCTCATGGCCTGTGCGAGTTTAGCAGCGAGAGAGCAAGGCAAAGAACTGGACGGGATGTTTGTGAAGGCGGAGTGTTTGCAGAAGGGGATGGAAATCCACAGGGAAGCTGTAGTCAGTGGCTGTGACTCGGACGGCTTCGTGGCAAGCTCGCTGGTGGATATGTATGCCAAGTGTGGAAGCATGAAGGATGCTCGAGCGGCTTTTGACAGGATGGCCTATCACGACGTCGTGTCGTGGACAACATTGATACTAGGATACGCAGAGAATGGTCTGGGGGAACTGGCTCTGGATCTCTTCTCACAGATGACTTCCGGGGCTCCAAACCATCTCACGTACGTTGCTGCGCTGGTGGCATGCGGGAACTTATCAGCTCTGGACAGTGGAAGGAAGATCCACAGCAGGATACTTCGTTCGGGGCTTGAGACCGAGGTGGTCGTGGAGAGCAGCCTAGTGGATTTCTACTGCAAGTGTGGCAGCATGGACACCGCCGAGAGTGTGTTCTTCTCAATGCAGACGAAGAGATTGGTTACTTGGAGCGCGTTGATAGCAGGATATAGCAGGCAAGGTGACACACTCCCCATGTTTGATCACTTTCGGAAGCTCCGGGACGAAGGCTTACAACCAAATGGGATCACAGTTCTGTCCGTTCTCACCGCTTGCAGCCATGCCGGCCTAGTTGACAAGGGGAAGAAGATCTTCAACTCAATGCTCGCGGAGTTTGGCGTGAAGCCGGAGATCGACCACTATCACTGCATAGTCGATCTTCTGAGCCGGGCCAACCGTCTCGAAGAGGCAGTCGAGCTTGTGCAAAGCTTGCGTTGCGAAGACAGCTATTTGGCATGGACAACCATCTTGAGTGGAGCTTGCAAGTGGAACAACTTACAGGTTGGGGAGAAGGCTTTTCAGTCTCTGATGAAGCTCGAGGATCGAGATGACGATGCTGCTTGCGTGCTTATGGGAAACCTCTATGGACGTGCTGGGCTCTGGGAGAGGCGTGCTCAATTACTCGAGTGCAATGCTAAGAGAAAGAACTGAAGTTTATACTTTAAGGTACGTGATATACCATTGTTTTTACAATTTCCAACTTTGCTTGTGATTTACAGCTCCGAGTGGTCAGCTCGTCGGCATCATCGTCGTCGTCCTGGTAAACCTTGCTGATGATCGGATTGCAAACGTCTTCTAGCTCTTTGAGTTGCTCCTCAAAAGCTTCCTTGTCCGCCGTTTCGTTGTTGTCATCCAGCCACTCGTGAGCCTCCTTGATTGCCGACTCAATCTTCTCCTTGTCATCGCTGTCGATCTTGTCCCTCAGCTTGTCCTGGTCGCTTCATGTTGTACAGATATGCCTCCATGGCATCGATTTTCTCCCTCAGCTCTTGGTCCTCTCTCGCGTTCTCTTCCGCTTCCTCTATCATCCTCTTGATCTCCGCCTCGGTCAGCCGGTTCTTATCGTTCGTGATGGTAATCTTTTCCTCCTTACCTCGTCCTATAGAGCCGTAGCGTCCACGACCAAAACGTCTGAATGAACAAAGAGCGGTAAGCTATAGCCATAAGAAAGCTTTGATCTAACCTTGTGTCGTGGCCTCGTTGAACATACCAGTTTGGACAGCCGCACCGTAAGCCACAGCCTCGTCCGGATTCACTCCCTTGCTGGGCTCCTTACCATCGAAAAAGTCCTTGAGCATCTGCTGGATCTTGGGAATTCGAGTGCTCCCTCCGACCAGAACGATCTCGTCAATCTCACTCTTCTTGAGCTTGGCATCCTCGAGAGCCGCCTTCACGGGTGCCATCGTCTTCTTGAAGAGGCCCGCGTTGAGCTCCTCGAACCTGGCCCGGGTGAGCGTCTCGGTGAGGTCGATGCCATCGATAAGCGACTCGATCTCCACTCGGACTTGGTGCTGGCTGCTCAGTGCCCGCTTGCTCCTCTCCACCTCACGGCGGAGCTTGGCCAGAGCCCGCGGCTCCTGGCTTATATCCCTTTGATACTTCTTCTTGACGAGCTTGATAAAGTAGTCTATCAGCCTTTGATCGAAATCCTCGCCTATTTACAATATATCAATATATCAATCAGTCGATTGATATATATCGACGAAAAGAAGTTTACCTCCAAGGTGAGTATCTCCATTCGTGGTGAGCACCTCAAAAAATCCAGCGTCCACCGCCAAGATGCTCACGTCAAACGTACCACCTCCAAGATCAAACACCAGGATCTTCTCGCCGATCCTTTTGTTGTCCAGGCCATAAGCTAGCGCCGCCGCGGTTGGCTCGTTGATGAGACGCATAACGTTAAGTCCAGCGATCCTCCCAGCGTCACTGGTTGCTCTTCTTTGAGCATCGTTGAAGTATGCTGGAAGTTTGTATACAGTGAGAACCTTAAAAGAAAGATGTTTGCGCATACCTGGTACTGCGATCACTGCGTCCGTGACCTTCTCGCCCAGGTAAGCCTCGGCTGTTTCCTTCATCTTGGTGAGAACCACGCTGATCTCCTCCGGGCTGTAGATCTTCGTCTTGCCGCTCACCTCGACTTCGATGTAAGGTTTTCCATCCTTGTTCACGATCTTAAAGCCCAGATGTTTCATGTCCCTTTGAACTTCCTTGTCATCGTACCTGGATTCACGACGTTCCAATATGAAACTTTCAATCTCGAGAAGAAAAGGAAGAGAAGGATCAAGGAGAGCTTACTTCATTCCAATGAGACGCTTCACGTCGTGGATTGTCCGGGTTGGATTGGCTTGGTTCTTGGCCGCCTCTCCGATCAGTCGCTCATTCTCCGTGAAGGCTACCCAGGATGGAGTGATCCGATTGCCCTGGTCGTTGGCGATGATCTCGACCTTGTCGTTCTTGTACACGCCGACGCACGAGTACGTCGTGCCCAGATCGATCCCGATGCTTGTTGCGTTGATGGTGATCAAGAACAGCCCTGCATTTGGATATCAAAGTTTGCGAGAAGAAAGAATTGAAACCAGAGAAGAGAAAGGTTGCATACATGCTGTGATGAAGAGACAAGGTAGGACTTTCTTGATTGCGCCCATATAACGCGGGCAAATACCCTTATTTCTCTAATATGCCTACATCCAATGGCTCAGATTAACCTTGAGGAAGTGACATATCAAATATTGCCACGTGGTATATTTTGATTTCCTAAAGGCAAATGTGGGCAATATTTTATATAACTAAAGTTACTTTATAATCTGTGCAAAACAATTTCTATATTTGACAAGAGTTAGGGTTTTATGGCATTTAGGATTTGCAAGCACACTATTAGTAGGCAAACGGATCCAATGAAATCGGTCCAGACAAAAAACGGTCCAGACACGGAACATTATTGCCAAGATAGAAAGCTGCAGCGTAAGAAAGGATTTTAGGTAAAGTCTGGTATGAAACTTGATATGGATACTGACCGTAGGGGTCTCTTCAAGCATGCCTGCATGGCCATCATGGCTACTGTTGGCCAACGTCGGTGTAAAATATAGAAGCGTGAAAAAGATACAAGGCAAGTACCACGGATTTGAGAAGCAACGCTTTCTCGGGTCGAGATGAAGCAAAATGCGCCAAACACGTACCAGTGACAAAAGTATATTGATGGATCTTAGAGCATTGAGAGTGCATAAATCCATCCCACCAGAGATTCAAAAACCAGTGATACGAGGTATCCGGAAACAAAAACTCGTCATACAAACTCGGAAGGAGCGAGAGAGAGTGACGAACTTACAATCCTGGCAGCGTTGTGATAATAGGATGCCAAGTATAAAATCCCTTTTTGCAGTAGCACTGAGCTTGCGGGACGTGGAAAATCTCGTCCTGGAGCAAGGTAGAAAATTCTCAGTAGCTCATCTCAAGAAATAGTTTATGTAAGGATCCGGAACGATGCCATTGACGAGATACACCACTGCTAGCGTGATGTCGCGATGGGCGACTTAGCTCGCGCTAAATTCCAGGCATTCTAGTCTCCTAAAAATGCCAATCTGGGTTTTACCCTCTTCGTTACCAAATGGCAGAAAAACGAGCTAAGTGAGCGAGCACTCGCAAGTAAATCCCTTACCTTCTTCGTGTATTCCACGACAGTTCCCTCTGGACTCCCTATGTCCATGAACAGTGGCCATTCAATAGAATGCTTGAGGTATTTGAGCTTGCCCATAAAGGGTGAGCACCATTATTATCAAATCTTCGGAGAGAACATCAACATTACCGCTAGGAGTTGCTTAGAATCTTTGCGAAGTCGCATTTGCCCAGACCAAGAGCAAGCCCTAAAATTGGAATATAGGTTAACTTGCATGCTAAAATAATTTTCCATTGTTCTTCGCTTTCTTTGTTTTCTTCTCTTTCTCCTTGGCTATCTGCAAATGTTCAACCTGATCACACCCCCGCTACTTGGGAATGACGATGCATTTGAAATTCCATAATCCACCATCTACAAAAATCAATATTCTTTTTTGACCCTTGTTCTCCTTTCTCTTCCGCTTTTCAGCAGCAAACTTCATCCTCAAGTTTCCCAGCTTTGCGAATAGCACATGCTCCTCGTTCGTCAACTGTAAGCACTTGTCCAATGGACACTCGTCTGTTTCATAGGCAATGTGTGCATCCTCTTCCTCACAGATTTTCTTTCCACGGCTAGCCTCCTCCGTCTTGGATTGTTCAGTTCTTGCACATTTAGAAACACTACCTGCGAAATAAACCGAGATAAAATCTTGATACCTTCATAAACGTGCAGCGTGGATCTTGTAGATGTAAAAAAGCTTAAACGGGTCAGTTGCCCATTGCTTGAATTCTTGCGGCCGAACGAACTTGTATTCTGCCCTTCAGTGAGCCTCGGGTTTTAAACACACTTGTAAGAACCAGAAATGAAGCGTCCCCTTCGAATCCTTCCAGACCAGAGCACCATCAACATACGTGAAGTTGATTGAGATCAACTAGAACACTTTCTCGTCCTTTCTTAAATCGTTGGGGTTGATTAGCTTCGGTTTTCCATCAAGGATTTCTAGTCGATCTGCCTGGTACTTAGTACCCTGAAAGGTGAAGCCCCCATCCGTATCGTCTCTGCTACAATCCCGTCGCATATGTAGCCAACTTGGGGCCACGTTGTGTTCTCCTCGTCAAGCAGCTGCCTCAGGTACAGTTGAATATGATGACTTCTATACGCACGAGTTTGCTTCTGACGTAGACGCGTCTGGAGAGACAAGCTGTGGAGAAACGAAGTGCAAGGACCACCAGGAAGAATAAATCCTTCGATCAGGTCTGGCTTCTTTCGTGTGAACAGAGCCGCAACTTTTATCCCAGGCCTCCGCATCATCAAGGTACGAATGGAGAGGAACTGCTGGTCGAGAGCTAGGTACCTGCGGCCAAGAAATAAGCTGACTCGTACTATTTAACAGTTGGACACATACCGGACGGGTTCTGAGGTCCTCAGGCGTATCTAACCGAGTATCAGTCGTCTCCACGTACTTGTGGCAGTATCTCTCCAGCAGGTATAACGACATGGGATGCCTCTCAGCAAGGTAATTCACAATTTTCCTTCGAAGGGGACGCTTGTCGAGCATAGGTCCCAATATTGAACAAGACTTTAGATATGTAGCGCATTCCTCCTGCAATGCACGACAGACATAAAACGAAATTATGCAAAGGAAATTAAATGCTGAACTCGGTGTAGAGGCACGGCCAGTACGGGAGTATGCATCTAAAAGTGGCATTATCCTGAAACACATCCAACCATGTTTTGATTGCGAGTATTTGCCTGCCATCGTCCTGTGTTCTTGGCGAACCATCTTTATGTGCAAAATCGTAGTGCTCCCCTCCATCCAGAAACAAAAGTATCCTTTCCTCCCTGGACTTGAGAAACTTATCCAAATCTGCAGGCGAGTCAATACGCCCAATCTGCTCAAGAGCATCGGAATCGTCGCTGAAGGAGAACTCGAGTGCAGCCCTGACAGATTCGGCATTGCAGATGCATATGATCCTCAAGCCAGGAACGTTGACAGCAACAAATACCACTGCCAAAGCCCATAGGAAACAGGATTTACCTACGCCTTTTGTTCCTCGCAAAGTCCAGGACAGGTACGTTTTCTCAAGTGCTCCACCATCTTCTCCTCGAAGCTGGGTCTACAAATGTAGTCGAACACTCTGGGAGGGCGCGTCCCTACTTGGGCAGGCGCTAACCCGGGAATTGGCAGAGGATTTATGATCTTTCTGCAAAGCTCGTCGCAGCGATCCTGGATCATCTTCTTGATCTTCTCCATAAAATCCTAACCCTTGTCAAATATAGAAATTGTTTTTAAACCAAAATATTACTTATGATACTAGAGTGGTTCAGAGAAGAACGAAATGTCACATATGTGCACTACATTTTCATCATAGTTGCTAGGCTCCAATATTACTACTTCAAGCCATGCAACAAATATTGGCTCCAAGCAACTATGATGAAAATGTAGTGCACATATGTGACATTTCCTTCTTCTCTGAACCACTTTAGTATCATAAGTAATATTTTGGGCTTGAAGTAATTTTAACACTATTTTGTATTACTTGTTCTCAAGTGGATTTTTTGTATTTTTAATCATGTGTTGGAATTTTTGGCATTGTAATGGTTTGTTACATATTTTTTATAACTCTCACCAAGGAAACAACCACACAATGATGGTGAGCTTAGCTTGTGGTATCCAAAATATGCTTAAAAATCCAACTCACTTGTATGATTATCTTATAGTAAATACCTATAGGGTATATGCACTATAAATAATATTAAATTGCAAATTTAAATGCATAAACAACACTATTGTATTTAGGGTTTAGATCATGCTTCCAAAGTTGTAATAATGGGAGGAGGAAGAGCATAAACTAGTCACAACTGGATTGTAGTGTAATAGGGTAAAAAGGAGCTAATAAGAAGTTAAAAATAGAGCTTATAACCCCCCCCCCCCCCCCCAAATTTGACATGCTTCTAAATATATTAAAAATTAGTACTTGAATTATTATAAAATATATTTGTGACTCACAAAATAATAATTTGAACACAACTTTTTTTTTACACATGGTATATATTGGTGCTTGCCATGTATACATGGCAAATCCAAGTCAACACTATGTATGCAATTTCTTAAACTACATAAATTTCAATTCCATATCAATTTTTTTAACACATTAATAAAGTTTAGCTTTAGGGCTTTTAGGCATAATGTTTTTCAGTAGGTGATTAAGTGCATTTTGGATACCATAGGCTAAACTTACTCTTTATCTACTTGGGGTTGTTTCTTTGGTCGCAATAAACCATTATAATGCCAAAAAAACATGTGATTAAAAATGTGAGAAATCCACTTGAGAACAAATAATATGAGATAGAGAACTACTTCAAGCCAAATTCTCAAAGCTAATGTGACTGCTCTCAAGGCATACTCAAATCTTATAACAAAGAGATGGAAGGAGTTTTTGTAAAATTAGTGGCACTGGAGTAAAGCATGGCTTTACATACTAGGTAACTCACAGTAATAAAAGCAGTAGAGGGGAAGCTTATAACAATGTTGGGGCTTGGCAATTGGGATGAAGAGCTCAGGAGTGAAGAGCAATCAAGTCATAGTGATATGCTTGGTTGACTTCTAGTGCAAAGAAGCATGATCTTGGCTCAACAAAGTTTGAACTTGATGCTATTAAAAGATCTTGTGGCTTGGACAACTGGATACAGTCACCAAGGAGACTCTACCTTTATATTTCAAAGTTTTCACAACATGTAAGATTTCAATCTTCATCCTGATAGGTTTAAGCCATGTGAGGTTTGTGAAACAAGGAATGGAATACTTAAATGCAACAGAGATAAAATATGGGATTTATCTTGGGTGTGAGCACTACCATGGAGTGATTGATCTTTTGGGATGAGTAACCATTTGGATGAAGCAATGATGGTGTTAGAATCTATGCCTCTAAAGCCAAACTGTGTAACTTAGACTAGCATTCCAAGTGAGTGTAAGAAGTAGAAAGATATGCAAATTGGGAAAATTGTGAAAAACACTTTGGTGAAGATTGATAAATAGAACAAAGTTGCATATACACTTATGGCTAATTTATATGAAAACTAACATTTGCATGCTTGCTGAAGGAATAAAAGTTGGCAGCTGTGACCAAAAAAGTACTAACTAGGCACTCCATTGTAATATGTAATATTGTGACTAAATAAAAAGCTCCAATTCAATACCTCAATTTTGATTATGGTGCTTCTTGTCCCACTACTCCACACTTATGGATTTCATTTTTACATGACATTGTGAAAGGAAAAGAGAAGTTGTGGAATATTTGTCACACATAATATAAATTAGCATTACATACATACTTGTGTAAAACCTGCACTACATATTTGTATAAAACCTTTACTAGACTTGCGGTGACGTTATGTTATCTAGGATGATATGGCAGTCATATGTCACAATTTGAAATATCATGCCCCATGCATACATGGCATACTAGATAACAAAAGTATTATATACACAATCATGTTTGATTGCTTATATAGCAATCAAAATGTGATTATTATATTTTTACAAGCAAAAAAATAAATCCACACATGTGTAAATATATAATGCTCCCACATGCAATCACATATTTTTTATTGCCATCTATTGTTCTTTAACTGATTTAAGTTGATTAAAGAAAGCCATCACAAATAAAAAGTTTTCTGTGGCTAGAAATATTAAATTAAAGCATATTTAATTATTTTAACTATATAATAACATAACAGCTAGGGGTTGTATGAGAACTGACAGAACTGTGATACCATTTGGTTGTAAGCCTTCGTCCCCGAGCTTCCCAATGATCAAACACGGGAGTGTCACCTTGCCCTACTTAGTTGACAAGGGGAAGAAGATCTTCGACTCAATGCTCGCTGAGTTTGGCGTGAAGCCAGAGATCGACCACTATCACTGCATAGTCGATCTTCTGAGCCGGGCCAACCGTCTCGAAGAGGCAGTTGAGCTTGCGCAAAGCTTGCGTTGCGAAGACAGCTAATTGGCATGGACAACCGTCTTGAGTGGAGCTTGCAAGTGGAACAACTTACAGGTTGGGGAGAAGGCTTTTCAGTCTCTGATGAAGCTCGAGGATTGAGATGACGATGCTGCTTGCGTGCTTATGGGAAACCTCTAGGGAGAGGCGTGCTCAATGCAACGCTAAGTTTATACTTTTAAGGTACGTGATATACCATTGTTTTTACAATTTTATCTTGAACATACAGTCTCCTGCGTGCTCTATACTACTATTGTCCCTTAAGATCTATAACTTCCTCCAACTTTGCTTGTGATTTACAGCTCCGAGTGGTCAGACTCGTCGGCATCATCATCGTCATCCTCTGATTGAGTAGATCTTGATCCCTGGTAAACCTTGCTGATGATCGGATTGCAAACGTCTTCTAGCTCTCTGAGTTGCTCCTCAAAAGCTTCCTTGTCTGCCGTTTCGTTGTTGTCATCCAGCCACTCGTGAGCCTCCTTGATTGCCGACTCGATCTTCTCCTTGTCATCGCTGTCGATCTTGTCCCTCAGCTTGTCCTGGTCGCTCACAGTGTGCTTCATGTTGTACAGATATGCCTCCAGCTTGTTCCTGGCATCGATTTTCTCCCTCAGCTCTTGGTCCTCTCTCGCGTTCTCTTCTGCTTCCTCTATCATCCTCTTGATCTCCGCCTCGGTCAGCCGGTTCTTATCGTTGGTGATGGTAATCGTTTCCTCCTTACCTCTTCCTATATCCTTGGCGGTCACTTGGAGCATATGGTTTGTGTCAACCTCAAACGTAACTTCGATCTGAGGGACACCTCTGCCAAAGAGAAGGAAGACGTAAGCACAACACTGGGACTACAAAGAAAATACCTTGGAGCTGGCGGGATTCCAGAGAGCTCAAAGTTGCCGAGCTCGTGATTATTCTTGGTCATTGTTCTCTCTCCCTCAAACACCTGGAAGATCAAGACATGGTGAGTTTCAAGTTTCCATTTATCGATCATCTCAAACTTACTCGGATGTTCACAGCTGGCTGATTGTCTTGGTACGTTGTGAAGGTTTGCGACTTCTTTACTGGGACGTTAGTATCTTTGGGAATGACCGGGGTCATCACTCCTCCGACCGTCTCGATTCCCAGAGTTAGAGCCGTAGCGTCCACGACCAAAACGTCTGAATGAACAAAGAGCGGTAAGCTATAGCCATAAGAAAGCTTTGATCTAACCTTTGAGTGTCGTGGCCTTGTTCAAGATACCAGTTTGGACAGCCGCACCGTAAGCCACAGCCTCGTCCGGATTCACTCCCTTGCTGGGCTCCTTACCATCGAAAAAGTCCTTGAGCATCTGCTGGATCTTGGGAATTCGAGTGCTCCCTCCGACCAGAACGATCTCGTCAATGTCACTCTTCTTGAGCTTGGCATCCTCGAGAGCCTTCTTCACGGGCGCCATCGTCTTCTTGAAGAGGTCCGCGTTGAGCTCCTCGAACCTGGCCCGGGTGAGAGTCTCGGAGAGGTCGATGCCATCGATAAGCGACTCGATCTCCACTCGGACTTGGTGCTGGCTGCTCAGTGCCCGCTTGCTCCTCTCCACCTCACGGCGGAGCTTGGCCAGAGCTCGCGGCTCCTGGCTTATATCCCTTTGATACTTCTTCTTGACGAGCTTGACAAAGTAGTCTATCAGCCTCTGATCGAAGTCCTCGCCTATTAACAGTGGAGTTCAGTTCAGTCGATTGATATATATCGATCGAAAAGAAGTTTACCTCCAAGGTGAGTATCTCCATTCGTGGTGAGCACCTCAAAAACTCCAGCGTCCACCGCCAAGATGCTCACGTCAAACGTACCACCTCCAAGATCAAACACCAGGATCTTCTTCTCGCCGTTCCTTTCGTTGTCCAGGCCATAAGCTAGCGCCGCCGCGGTTGGCTCGTTGATGATACGCATAACGTTAAGTCCAGCGATCCTTCCAGCGTCACTGGTTGCTCCTCTTTGAGCATCGTTGAAGTATGCTGGAAGTTTGTATACAGTGAGAACCTTAAAAGAAAGATTTTGCGCATACCTGGTACTGTGATCACTGCGTCCGTGACCTTCTCGCCCAGGTAAGCCTCGGCTGTTTCCTTCATCTTGGTGAGAACCATGGCGCTGATCTCCTCCGGGCTGTAGATCTTCGTCTTGCCGCTCACCTCGACTTCGATGTAAGGTTTTCCATCCTTGTTCACGATCTTAAAGCCCAGATGTTTCATGTCCCTTTGAACTTCCTTGTCGTCGTACCTGGATTCACGACGTTCCAATATGAAACTTTCAATCTCGAGAAGAAAAGGAAGAGAAGGATCAAGGAGAGCTTACTTCATTCCAATGAGACGCTTCACGTCGTGGATTGTCCGGGTTGGATTGGAGGTGGCTTGGTTCTTGGCCGCCTCTCCGATCAGTCGCTCATTCTCCGTGAAGGCTACCCAGGATGGAGTGATCCGATTGCCCTGGTCGTTGGCGATGATCTCGACCTTGCCGTTCTTGTACACGCCGACGCACGAGTACGTCGTGCCCAGATCGATCCCGATGCTTGTTGCGTTGATGGTGATCAAGAACAGCCCTGCATTTGGATATCAAAATTTGCGAGCAGAAAGAATTGAATCCAGAGAAGAGAAAGATTGCATACATGCTGTGATGAAGAGACAAGGTAGGACTTTCTTGATTGCGCCCATCCTCAAAGTTGACGAAACCTTAGGGTCGGTTGAGTTTATATAACGCGGGCAAATACCCTTATTTCTCGAATATGCCTACATCCAATGGCTCAGATTAATCTTGAGGAAGTGACACTATTCGACTTATCAAATATTGCCACGTGGCATGTTTTGATTTCCTAAAGGGATTTTATTCTTGTTAAATGTAACGGCAATTAAGTATTGCGAAGAGCTGCTAATCGGTCCTCCAAGTTATCCATTTCAGAACTGAAAAAAAGCGAAAGGATGATCAATACAACATAGATTATTTTACCTTTTGATTTCTTCAGCTCCCGATTTTCCTGCAATTCTTCCTTTGGGAGGTGCTGTCAACTAAATATTGGAAACCAAAAGCATAAAATCAGTTAACAATCCAAAGAGTTGGGAGTGTAAATTATCAGTACCTTGGCAGCGATATCAATACCAATTTCGTCTAGAACCTGAAAGGAAGAGCTAAATCAAAATTCTAATAGATAGCTTTTACGTTACTTGGTTTGTGAGCTCCTCAGTTTCGTCCTCGGCCTCTTCGTCGTCCAAAGCGCCATCGATAGCATCGGCCAGCATCTCAGACTGGCATCAACATCGATGATACTTCAGCGAGAATCGAAACGTGAAAACTTACTGTCAAATCCATTTGTGTGGATTGTTTCTGAAACTCCTGCATGGTTTTAACTTGTTGCTGAGGTTGCATTTGCTGCAAGATCGTTGTAAGCGAAGTCAAGTAAAACAAAGCCGAAAAAATCTCACTTTGTTCATTGCGCCCATTGCCTTAGTGGCTCCTTTCATAGCACCAGCAACAGACGTATTCGCATACATCGCCTAGACAACAACACTGAAGCAGCATCAGAGGCATGGAGCTAGAAAAACTCCCTTCGAGTTCAAAACAAAAGAGAGGGGCGAAAAGAAAAATCAGTGACAGAACCTGGGTATGGGTTGCCACACCTCGCACTTGAGCTCGACTGCCCTGGAGCTTTCCAATTTGCTGCCGCAATCTGATCAATTGCCTTGCCAAGATCGTCGTTGCGCTCTGAAACAACATCTATCTAGCTCGAGAAAACAAACAACGAAAAAACACCTCTCACCTTGTTACCAGTCTTGGCTGTTTTCTTAATCTCGGCAAGCAGTCTCTTCTCCTGGAAGGCAAAAAATAAGTCCAAACTAAGAACTAAGAACCAAGAACTAAAAACTAAAATCACTCACCTCTGATTGTAGAGTCATTATTTCTCTCTCGATTCCTGCAAAAAAAATCCAATTTTTCTAGCAAACGAAGAAGAAAATCCCAAATAAAAACCTCTAGTCGCAACTCCCATCTCGCGTTTGCTGGCTCGAAGAGCATCTATAGATTGGAAGGCGCTGTGAATCGCTTGACAGAGCTAGGTTGGGAGGATCGTGGCTCTCACCTTTCGGATCGGTTTTCTTCCTGAAGAGATTCATGACCGTCTTTCTTCCCCCGGTGGAAGAAGAGGAAGAGCGCGCCAATAATAGGGTTAGGGTTCTTCGCAAACTCTTGGCTGGAAAAATGGACATCGATCCGGATCGCTTCGACGCAATCGTGGTTGGAACGGGGCTGCCAGAGTCGATCCTAGCTGCCGCGGCGGCTTGCGGCGGGCGCAAGGTACTTCACCTCGATTCCAACGAGTTCTACGGATCGGAATGGGCATCCATGACCCTGGATCAGCTCTCCTCGTTCATAGCATCGCTCGGCGCTTGCAATGGCGCGGCCGCAGTGGACTCCTCGGCCGAGCTGGATGCTCTCGGTTTGGAGGAATCCGAGCTCCTGCGAGACGAATTCCTCTACTCTGATGGCAAAGTCTGTGAATTCGAGGGATCGGCGGCAGCTCTGGGCTCTTCCAGAGGCTACACGCTCGACATCGCAGCTCCAAAAGTTCTACGCTGCGCGGAGTCTCTGGTGGATCTCTTGATCAAGTGTGGAGCTAGCAACTATCTCGAGTTTAAAGGCGTCCAGGCGACATACATTTGGAGTGGAGATGGTTTTATCTCCGCGCCAACTTCCAGCTCCGAGCTCTTCCAGGACCGATCCTTGGCCTTGCGTGACAAGAGGCGTCTCATGCGGTTTCTAAAGTCTGTCCGGGCTTACATCTCTCAGGAGGGAGACGGTGCTGGTTTCTCCGATGAGAACTTGAAGGTGTCATTCGTGGAGCTCCTGGAGAGGGAGCAGCTTCCACAGTCGATTCAATCGTGGTGCTTTCTTTTCTTTGAAGTTCTTGGCTGGAAAAATGATTTCTAACTTTCTTCTTCTTCGTTTCTCTCTTTCCAGAATCATTTTGTATGCTGTTGCGCTACTTGACGAGGACCAGAAAACAAGTAGCTCTCCTGTCTCGGCACTGGAGGGCTTGCAACTGTTAAAGCTTCATATGGCTTCGATTGGAAGGTAGTTTTTCCGGAATTTTTCGTCCCAGCGGTGGTGTTGATGTTCTCTCCGCAGATTTGATAACAATGGTGCTTTTCTATACACCCTTTATGGGCAAGCTGAAATACCTCAAGCATTCTGTCGAGTGGCCGCTGTTCATGGAGCATTGTACGTACGTGATCTTGTTATTTTCCTATGATCTCTTCCGGATATCATGCTGCTCTCTTGTAGGTGTTGCGGATGCCCGTCACCTCTGTTATTCGGGATAAGGTATGTGTAAGTTTTCCATTCGTCTCTTTCATTGATTCTGGGATTGTAGGAAACAAAGCAATTCAAAGGCATACGTGCTCAATCCGGACAACTTCTCTACAGTGACAAGATAGTACTTGGTGCATCCTTCAACAAATGGGGAAGTCGTTTAGTCGAGGAAATGCAGCGGCCAGATAGCAAGACCCCGAGTCTGCTTCTGGGGAGATACGTCTGTATAACCGATGCATCCTTGCTTTCCGGAAAGAGCAACCTTCTGCTGATATTTCCACCACGATGTAAGTTCATTCTTTTTCTTGCCTTTCGGTTCTAGTTTCCCGGCACGATGTGTAGCTGTAAGCGGGGAATGTAATCCAAATCCAGTGAGAGTCTTACAACTAGGCAGTACTGCCGTTTGCCCGGATGGAAAGTAAGTTCTCTGCTTGAATCCATGGAAGTGTTTTTTAACGTCGTCGCCATGCAGATATGTCATTCAAATCTCTACAGTTGCCGGAAGTGGCTCTGTTGCGAAGGCTGCGTTGGATGGAGTCGTAAAACTTCTTCTTTTTCAGTCCGGAAGCGAAGAGGATTTAACCAGCATCCTCGAGCCCGACCTCTGCAAACCAAAGCTTCTCTGGTCCGGATTCTTCACCGAAAAACTTCATAGCACAAGCTCACAGGTACCGTCCTTGCCAAAGCTTTCCTAGCATGATCTAACTTCTGCGATAGGTGATAGACAATCGTATTGGAGTATGCGCTCAACCAGGTCCGGAGGCTGGGTATGAAAGTGTCGTGGAATACACCGAGAAGGTAAAGGATTTACTTGCGAGTGCTCGCTCACTTAGCTCGTTTTTCTGCCAGGTTTTTCATCAACTATTTGGTGACGAAGAATGGTTTGCTAGTAAGCCAGAACTTGAAACAGTCGAAGAAGAGTAGCATGTTAAATGTAAGTAACACTTGATTAAAACCCAGATTGGCATTTTTAGGGTTCATGGAAGTTCTAGACTAGAATGCCTGGAGTTTAGCTCGAGTCGCCGCTCATGTCGATCCTTGTGCTCATCGCGACACTGCTCGCATTCGCGCTACCAGTAGCGTATCTCGTCAATGGCATCGTTCCGGATCCTTACATGGTAAACTATATTTTGAGATGTAGCTACTGAGAATTTCTACCTTGCTCCAGGACGAGATTTTCCACGTCCCGCAAGCTCAGCGCTACTGCAAAAGGGATTTTTATACTTGGGATCCTATGATCACAACGCTGCCAGGATTGTAAGTTCGTCATTCTCTCTCGCTCCTTCCAAATCTGTGTGACGAGTTTTTGTTTCCAGATACCTCGTATCACTGGTTTTTGAATCTATGGTCTCGTGGATTCCTGGGATGGATTTATGCACTCTCAATGCTCTAAGATCCATCAATATACTTTTGTCACTGGTATGTGTTTGTCTGTTCCGGAGCATTTTGCTTCATCTCGACCCGAAAGTGAGCGAGAAAGCGTTGCTTCTCAAATCCGTGGTACTTGCTTTGTATCCTTTGCATTGGTTTTTCACGTTTCTATATTACACCGACGTTGGCTCCACAGCAGCCGTGATGGCCATGTACTTGGCATGCTTGAAGAGATCCTACTGGATTTCCGCTACGGTCAGTATCCATATCAAGTTTCATACCAGAGTTTTACTTAAGAACCTTTCTTACGCTGCAGCTTTCTATCTTGGCAATAATGTTCCGGCAAACAAATGCTGTCTGGACCGTTTTTGGTCTCTGTGTTGGAGTGATACAGTTTTTGCAAGAGGGGATTTCGTCTTCAAAAGAGGAGGAAGCAGTTGATGATACGGAGAAAACTCCTGACAAAAGATATTCTGAATCAAAGTTTCTGAGAAGAAGACGTGTACGAAGAACAGCTGAGACAAAGCACGCGACGCATTTTACTGGTAAAATGGCTTATCAGTTCATGTGTGTATTGGTTCTCATTTTTACTCAGGTCGGCACAGCGATTTACAAGACGCCATTCTGAATGCGTGGCAGAGAAAGTGGTTTGCTGCTAGACAGTTTTCGCCTTTCGTGCTCGTTATCCTTGCCTTTTTGGCTTTCGTTGTCTACAATGGCAGCATTGTCGTCGGTAAGACCGTTCAAATGGTTTATCAAACACTTCCAAACATTACGTGTAGGTGCAAAGGACGCGCACAGAGCTTCTCCACACTTTGCTCAGCCACTCTACTTCGCTCTTTTTACCGCGGGAGTGCTGGCACCGCTGCAACTCTCGCTAAACAGGTTTTCATCTCTACGACAAGTTTTCAGAGAAACTCCAGCGCTCGCATGTCTCACTGGTGCTGCTACTGCCAGCATCGCGATTGTGGCGGTCCATTTCTTCAGGTACCTTGTCCAAAGCTCGTGTTTCTTACTAACAAACTAAAGCGTTTCCACAGCTTGGCACACCCGTACTTAATTGCTGACAATCGACACTACACGTTTTATATATGGAAGGACATCATCCAGACCCACTGGTCCGTTAAGTACTTGCTCATACCGCTCTATATCTTTTGCTGGTGGTCGATCATACATTCGTTGCTCGAAAACCTCCGCGATGCCGGCGTGAGGACCCCTCTCCTCCAAAAGCTCTGGGTAGTTTCGTTTTGCGGAGCTGTGATTGCTGTCCTAGTCCCAGCTCCGCTGGTGGAGTTTCGCTACTTCACGGTGCCCTTTTACTTGGTCGCTCTCCACAGCTTCGCCAAGCTCCAAGTGAGCTCTTGGAAGTTTTGGTTCGTGGCTATGGAGTTTTTGGCAGTGAACGCTCTGACTATGAGGCTCTTCCTCTGGAAGCCATTCCACTGGGCTCACGAACCGGGAACCCAGAGATTTATTTGGTGAAAGTGTACCACTTTTTTAATTTGAATGGCCGCCATGCTAGTTGCAAGGAGAAGCGGTTAAGCCTGTCCAAATAGGTGTCCTGCCAACTCATAGGTTCCGTAGCATCAATCTTTAAAAATGTATAATGTCTTCAACTTTTTTAAATGAATAAATAATTTATAAATAGTATATGAGTGAATGAATGAATAACCACAAAAGCTATGTTGTTTATCATTTGTGGAAGCATGGGACTCTATCTACATGAATGCAATGCATCGTTGTGGTCCCTCTAGTCTTGGTCGTTTTGTTGAAAGTGGTCTGTTGTTCATCACTAAGCATGGAAGCGAGCACAACTCCGAGGTTGTGTGTGTGTGTGTGTGTGTGTGTGAGAGAGAGAGAGAGAGAGGGCTAGATGTCATTTGATCATATGACCAGGTTTGTTTAAATCACATTCCTACTAATAGTATGCTTGCAAATCCAAAACCGCTGTACATACTACCATTAAAGTTTCCAAATGTAGTGATTAAAAGAGTCAAAATAAAAATTTAACTCATCATAGCATGCAGCGTAGAGCTCCACGCCGGAGCCCAAGGTGCGAGCTCACAGACCACACCAGGATCAAGATCCTGGTGATCAGGAAGAGATTGAGCGCAAGAGAAATGAGAGCGAGTGTGTCAATGTGGGCGTAGGTGTCATATTTCCTTCTTCTCTGATAATATTTTGGTTTATAGATATAACTAAAGTTACTTAGTATACTATATTTGACAAGGGTTAGGATTTTAAGCGTCAAGAAGACGATCCAGGATCGCTGCGACGAGCTTTGCAGAAAGATCATAAATCCATCGCCAGGTGACGTGGTGAAACCCAGGTAGCCCAGAGTGTTCGACTACATTTGTAGACCCAGCTTCGCGGAAAAGATGGTGGACTTCTGCGTAGCACTTGAGAACGAAACGTAGCTCTCCTGGAAGGAACAAAAGGCGTAGGTAAATCCTGTTTCCTACGATCAATAGCACAGGTGTCCGCCTTGATTTCTGAGAATTTTTTTTATAAAAAGTCCGTGATATTATAGAAAACAAATTCGTTTTCTACGGGCTTTGGCAGTGGTACTGTTGGATGGTTCTTTGGTTGCAAGAAAGTATTTGTTGCTGTCAACGTTCCTGGCTTGAGGATCATATGCATCTGCAATGCCGAATCTCCTCGCGTTCCACAGGTCAGGGCTGCACTCGAGTTCTCCTTGAGCGACGATGCCGATGCTCTTGAGTAGATTGGGCGTATTGACTCGCCTGCAGATTTGGATAAATTTCTCAAGTCCAGGGAGGAAAGGATACTTTTGTTTCTGGATGGAGGGGAGCAGTACGATTTGGCACATAAAGATGGTTCGCCTCTACTTGCAACCACAGCATGGTCGGATGTAGATGCCAAACATTGTCACCAAATGGATACTCCCCTACTGGCGCGGGTACCTCATTGGACGTGAGCTTTGCAACAGAGGAGGAGGTCAGCTTTTAATTTCCTTCGCATAATTTCGTTTTATGTCTGTTTTACATTGCTAAAATCTTGTTCAATCTTGGGACCTATGCTCGACAAGCATCCCCGTCGAATGGAAATTGTAGTTTACCGTCTACTTGTGTTATAAAATTGTGGTCTACGCGTCTACTTGTGTTATAAAAAAAATGAAAGTCAACACTAAAGAGGGGTTTATGGAAAACCGAGCTCAGTTTTGGTTCGACTACGCGGGCTTAACCCTTCGCGCCTTAATTTGAATGGCTTTGCTGACAAGGATATTTTCGACGTGCGCTAGGGTTTATAGATCGATGGAGCTCGCCGCGGCAGGGATGGGGCAAATGCTGGTCGATTCTGAGCTGTGGATTGGGCCGTTGATCGTCGCGAGGTAGGAATCTCCTTCCCAGTTGAATAATTTCCTTGTTACATTGATGCCACAGGCGTTTCGCCAGCATCAGCGCAAGTCTTGGGAGATCTTCTGGAAACAGGATCGTTTGAAGCTTCCTTCCACCAGTGCCAGCATCTTGTTGACTTTGCGGATCTTCAGGTGTCATCCAAAGAGCCGGGTGTCTAATAATTGAGGGAACGCGCTTTAAGACAACACGCCAAACAAATCCGGCAAGCTTGGCAAGAGTCAAAGAATAGAGAAAATTTCTGTCAGAGGAGGTAGCGTTCTCTCTTTCGTAAGTTCTAGAGCTAACACCCTTTCATCTAGACAGAACAAGGAGAGAACGGACAAGAAAAGAGGACAAAAAAAATATGATTTTCTGCGGATAGTTCGCAACATACACCGGTATATTTTTAGGCCGAGAAGGCCGAGGATTGAGCTCGTGAGTTTGCGAAGCGATGGCTCAGCAAACAGTTGATCTGGAAGCGGCGGATGTTTGGGCGTCTGGGCTGACAAGAAGCTTGAGCAGGCGGCCGAGCATACGCAACTTTAGTAGCAGGAGGAGCTCGTCGAGGGCTCAAACATTATCGGCGGAGAACGACGAAGAAGCTCTGACATGGGCTGCTCTGGAGAAGCTCGGGACATACGACCGCCTGAGAACTTCAGTGCTCAAGAGCTTGAATACAGAGGGCCAGGACGTTCTTCAGCAGGTGGACGTTCGGAAGTTAGGACCCGCGGAGCGTCAGGCCCTTTTAGACAAGCTGGTGCAAATGACCGGAGAAGACAACGAGATTTTTCTCAAAAGGCTGAGGCACAGGATCAATAAGTGAGTCCTATCTTTACTTGCTGTGGTTGACACTGGTTGTACTGATCGAGCCATTTCAGAGTCGGGATCGATGTTCCAGCAGTTGAAGTGAGATACGAGAATTTGACAGTGGAAGCTAAGTGCTACGTTGGCAACAGAGCGCTGCCTACCCTTTACAACACGGCTGTGAACATGCTAGAGGTGAGTCCAGGTACCCGATTTTTCATTTTTGACATGAGACATGTGTAGGCGGCCATTGATTTTCTTAAGATTTCAAGGACGAAAGAATCGAACCTAACCATACTCCAAGATGTCAGCGGCATTATCAAACCTGGAAGGTAGGTTTCAAGTGCTTGCAATGATCTAGCTGAGTGTGTTTCCTTGTGAAGGATGACGCTTTTGCTTGGTCCACCAAGCTCCGGCAAAACAACTCTTCTTCTTGCTTTGGCCGGAAGATTGGATCCTGCTCTTAAGGTAATCTATAGTAGGAACGTCCACTGACAGTCGCAACTATTTTATAGACGAGCGGGAAAATCACATACAATGGTCACGAGTTGCAAGAATTCGTGCCGCAGAAGACCTCTGCTTATATTAGCCAACATGACTTGCACAATGGGGAGATGACTGTGAGGGAAACGCTTGAGTTTTCTGCACGCTTTCAGGGCGTCGGAACAAGATATGGTAAGCTCCTTTTACGTCCAACAAGCGTTAATCTCTTCCCAACTAGAACTCCTGTCAGAACTTATAAGGCGTGAGAAGGAAAGGACTATAGTCCCAGAACCCGACATTGATCTCTACATGAAAGTAAGAGTCCCTGTGAAGTTAAGTTTTCGTTTACTATTTCCTTCTTGCAGGCCTCGGCAGTGGAAAAAGTTCAGAGCAGCATCCTGACGGATTACACACTCAGGGTACAGTGACTACTTGCTACAAATATATGATTTCGTTGCTGTTTGTGATTTGTAGATTTTGAGCTTGGACGTGTGTGCGGACACTATAGTTGGCGATCAGCTGAGAAGAGGAATCTCAGGAGGACAAAAGAAGCGTGTGACTACAGGAGAGATGATTGTTGGCCCGACGAAGACGTTGTTCATGGACGAGATTTCGACAGGCCTTGATAGCTCGACAACGTTCCAGATTGTAAAATGCATGCAGCAGTTTGTTCATGTGCTCGAGGGAACTCTATTCATGTCTCTTCTGCAACCGGCTCCAGAGACGTACAACTTGTTCGACGACGTCCTTTTACTATCTGAAGGACAGGTGGTCTACCACGGGCCTCGAGAGTACGTCATAGAGTTCTTTGAAGAATGCGGGTTCAAATGTCCCGAACGCAAGGATACGGCTGATTTTCTGCAAGAGGTAAGCTCTCACCGCGTTTCTTTCTCAAGGTGTTAACTTCTATCTCGTCGCATGATAGGTAACATCCAGGAAGGATCAGGCACAGTACTGGGCCGATAAGCAAGTGCCTTACCGCTACATCACAGTAAAAGAGTTTTCTGAACGTTTTAAGAAATTTCACGTTGGACAGAAGCTTGCCGAAGAGTTATCTTGCTCCTTTGACAGGTCGAAGTGCCATCCAGCTGCGTTAGTTCACGAAAAGTACTCTATCAGCAAGACAGAGATGTTCAAAATATCCTTCCAAAGGGAGTGGCTACTTATGAAACGACACTCTTTTGTCCATATCGTTAAAACTATACAGGTGAGTTGGTCCGCAATTTTGTTTAGTGGTGCTTTATGTCTGTTCTTCTCTCACAGATAGTTTTTGTGGCTTGTATCACTTCGACTGTCTTCTTAAGGACGGAACTAAAAGGTGATACCATCGATAATGCAACTGTTTATTTGGGGGCCTTGTTTTATGGACTGCTCGCGGTTATGTTCAACGGCATGTCAGAACTACCGATGACCATTCTTCGGCTACCTGTCTTCTTTAAACAGAGAGATTTGCTGTTTTATCCGGCATGGGCAGTCAGTTTACCACAATTCGTGCTCCGGCTGCCTCTGTCACTCGTCGAAGTTTCCGTTTGGACGTGTATAACGTACTACGTGATTGGATATTCACCAGCAGCGGGAAAGTTTTTTCGACATGTTTTACTGATGCTTCTTGTAAACCAGATGTCCTCATCGCTTTTCCGGCTTATTGCCGGTGTCTGCCGAACTATGGTCGTTGCAAATACTGGGGGCTCGTTGCTTATTCTTCTATTTGTGGTTTTAAGTGGGTTTTTGATTCCCCGAGGCGAGTGTACCTTTTTTATGTTTTTGATTCTGCCTTAACAGTTGCAAGTTATTTCAGATCATATTCCCAACTGGTGGATTTGGGGATATTGGATGAACCCACTCCCGTATGCTGAAAATGCCATTTCTGTAAACGAGATGCTTTCTCCTCGCTGGGATAAGGTTAGTAAAGATAAAAGTGATGACTTAAAAGTCAGTTTTCGTGCAGCCTTTCAATGGAACTTCCACCATTGGTGCCACTGTTCTAAAAGAGCGTGGTTTCTTTGCGAGAGGATATTGGTATTGGATTGGTGTTGGAGCTATGGTTGGTTTTATGTGTCTCTTCAACGTTTTATTTACTTTGGCGCTTACGTATTTAAATCGTAAGTTCTGCTTTTGACTTGTTTATCTGCCACTAACAATTGTTTTTCATTTTGTAGCTTTGGGTAAGCATCAGGTTGCACGGTCGCATGAGACATTAGCGGAAATTGAAGCAAGTCAGGAAATCCAAGATTCAGGCGTCGCAAAACCGTTAGCAAGTTCACGTTCATCCTCTCGTTCTCTTTCAAGTTTTGATGGCAACAGAGTCGGTAAGAATTTTCTTCCTTGCTTTTTCCACTGACGCAAATTATGCTAAACTAACGCAGCTCTCGATATTACTTATCCTCAAAATCTTCCAAACGGCAACGACGTGGATTTGGAAGATGCCAGAGGCTTAATGCCGAAACGTGGCATGAGACTTCCATTTAAAGCGCTGTCAATTTCTTTCAGTGAGATTAGCTATTCCATCGATATGCCTGTGGTGAGTCTGCCATATTGTACTAGAAACCATCCCAGTGATTGTTGAAATGCAGGAAATGAAAGAGCAGGGCATAACCGATGATAAGCTGCGTCTTCTAAAGGATATAACAGGTTCCTTTCGTCCCGGCGTGTTGACAACTTTGATGGGCGTAAGTGGTGCTGGAAAGACGACTCTCATGGACGTTCTAGCCGGACGGAAAACAGGTGGCTACATAGACGGAGACATCAAGATTTCCGGCTTTCCAAAAAATCAAGAGACCTTTGCCCGTATTTCTGGATATTGTGAGCAGAATGATATTCATTCTCCTCAGGTCACAGTTCACGAGTCCTTGCTGTTTTCTGCATGGCTAAGATTGGCACCGAACATCAGTTCCGAAGACAAAATGGTGGGTCAGAAAATTTCCTTCCAATTGCGTTTTAAGTCGACTATTGCCTTTTCTTGCAGAGCTTTGTTGAAGAGGTGATGGAGCTTGTCGAGCTCGACAACTTACGAAATAGCATCGTCGGTCTACCTGGTGTCTCTGGTCTTTCAACTGAGCAGAGAAAGCGGCTAACCATTGCTGTTGAGCTTGTCGCAAATCCGTCAATTATATTCATGGACGAGCCAACATCTGGACTGGACGCAAGGGCTGCTGCTATTGTGATGAGAACTGTTCGAAATACGGTGGATACAGGCCGAACAGTGGTATGCACCATACATCAGCCCAGCATAGACATTTTTGAGGCATTTGACGAGGTGTGTTCTCCCCTTTCTTTTTTCCTGCGGTGTTGATCTTTAGATTTTGCATCCAGCTGCTCCTGTTAAAAAGAGGAGGTCAAGTCATCTACGCCGGTCCGCTTGGGAAAGATTCCCAAAAATTGATCGAGTACTTCGAGGTAATGCCAAGCCTGGCTATGGCGCTAAACGTTCTTTTTCCTTTTTTCATTCAGGCTATTCCCGGAGTTCCAAAAATTCCTCACAGGTACAACCCTGCTACTTGGATGCTGGAAGTAACATCTCTTCCATCCGAACAACGCCTAGGAGTTGACTTTGCAGATATATATATCAAGTCAGAACTTTATCAGTACGTATAAAAATATTGATAGCTAGATTCTTATGGTCGTTTGTACAGGAGAAACAAATCTCTCGTCAAGGAGCTGAGCTCGCCCAAACCGGAAGATGCGGACTTGTATTTTCCAACGAAGTACACGCAGTCATTGTTCGGGCAGCTAAAATCCTGCTTGTGGAAGCAGTACTGGACTTACTGGAGAAGCCCGGATTACAACTGCGTCCGTTTAATCTTCACTCTGATTGCTGCCCTGCTCTATGGTAGCATTTTCTGGAAACGTGGAGAGAAAACGTCAGTGTTTGTTCACTAGAAGAGATACTAAAACCGCACCTTTTCTTTTTTGTCCACAGAGGTGCTCAAGGAGACCTTTTCACAGTGATGGGAGCAATGTATGGCGCCGTTATTGTCCTCGGAGTACAGAATTGCTCCACAGTTCAGCCTGTGGTTTCCACGGAGAGAACCGTATTCTACCGAGAGCGAGCGGCTGGAATGTACTCCGCACTGCCATACGCAATGGCACAGGTAATTGGTGTTACATGTTTAGCTGCTGAAACATAGCTTCTGCTTCCAGGTTTTGATCGAAATCCCTTACCTCGCCGTCCAGAGCTTGATCTACTGCCCCATCATATATTCCATGATGTCGTTCGAGTGGAGCCCTGCAAAGTTCTTCTGGTACCTCTTCTTTACGTTCTTCACTTTCATGTACTTCACGTACTACGGGCTCATGTCCGTGTCCATGACTCCAAACCATCAAGTTGCAGCCATCCTCAGCTCGGCTTTCTACTCGCTTTTCAACCTCTTTGCCGGCTTCCTCATCCCTTATCCTGTAAGTTCTTTCCGATAGGCTTGCTCGAGGAACCCGTGACATTATTCTTCTTCCAGAAAATTCCGAAGTGGTGGACGTGGTACTACTGGATATGTCCCGTTGCCTGGACCGTGAACGGCCTCTTCACCTCGCAATACGGAGACGTGACGAAGGACTTGCTACTACCCGGTGGTGAAGTTAAACCGGTGAATGTGTTCTTGGAGGAGTACTTCGGCTTCCACTACGATTTCCTGGGAGTCATAGCAGGCGTGGTAATGGGATTCAGCATCTTCTTTGCGGCCATGTTCGCATTCTGCATCAAGGTGCTGAATTTCCAGACCAGGTGATAACGATATTTTCAAACATAGTTTTATTCCATTCTTCGATCAAAATTTGAGTAGCAGCATCGCCAAAAGAGACACTAATGTGGAGGCGAGAACACTTCTATGGAATCTTTGCATGGCCAGAGACTGTGGCGGCGGAATGCCATCCTCACTCTCTGGAAGAAAGGCAGGTGGGGCCGGCGGGTGTGGCGGAGGCGGCGACGGTGGTGGCGGCGGTGGTGGTGAAGGTGGCGGGGGTGGCGAAGGTGGTGGCGGTGAAGGTGGGGGTGGCGGCGAAGGAGGAGGCGGTGAGGGCGGTGGCGGTGGCGAAGGAGGAGGTGGTGAGGGTGGCGGCGGTGGCGAAGGAGGAGGTGGTGAAGGTGGTGGTGGTGGTGGTGGCGACGGGGGTGGAGGCGGAGGCGGCGGCGGTGATGGTGGCGGCGGTGAAGGTGGCGGTGGCGGCGGTGGCGGAAGGAAGCCCTCCGGCTCCAGCACCCGGTCGATGGCATAGACCGTGATGGAGAAGGGCTCCTGGACGACGTTCCGGAGGATGGTAGCCAGCGGCGGCGACTGGTGTGGCGGTCTGGAGAGCGTGGCAACGCCGTGGTTGTCGACGTTGAGCTGCAGCCAGCGGAAGTGGAGCGTCTCCTCGTAGGGGCGCTCCCGGAAGAGTGTCTTGATGGGCGATGAGAAGTTGCGGCGCACCGCCAGGAACTCGGACTCGATGTAGAAGTCGGAGATGTGGTAGCGCACCAGGTCCGCCAGCTTCTCCTCGCTGGGGTGCTTGCCCATGTCGTAGATGAAGTCGTTGAGGAGCGTGTTGTTCTCCGGGATGAAGAGGGTGGCGGTGAGCATGGGATTGACCTGGTCGACCACGCCGCTAGTGGTGAGCAGCGTGTTGAAGCGCTTGAAGTTTGGGTAATTGTTGAGCAGCAGCGTCAGGTTCTTGGTGAGGCCCACGGCAGTGAGAATGAGACCGCTGGCGAGAATGAGGAGCAGCGCCCAGAGTAGAGCTTGCTTGTGCTGCTCCATACCTCTCCTCGTTCGTTATACCTGGGATCCAGACATTGATCACAATCAAGCTCAACTTACAAGCGACTTACTCGTCGTTTTCTTGTCGACATTCCTGAACGAACTCCATAAGTTTCCTGCCCGGGCTCTATATAGTCACGGGCATTACAAAGAAGGAAGAGGGAAGACCAAGCAGAGTTCTTACAATTCTTTTGAAATTAAGCATATACATAGAATATGAACGGCTATACATAGAATATGCTAACTTTATTGGGATTTAAAATTTTTTTGAAAGAGGTCTTCACAATGCTTATACAGGTAATAACGCACTTGGACAGCGTCATAAAATCAAACTCGGTGCAGACGGAGCTTGGGATGCTTCTGGAGTGCATGGAGTGGTGGAACGCTGAGCAACGAGGCTTTTAGTTTTACGGTTGAGTCCTTTGAGGAGAATTTTCAGTAGTGCACAATCTAACAAGGGGCGTCCTCAGTTCGCAAACGGAGACTCTATCAAGTGCGTGAAAACCAACACACAAATCTCCTTGCAAGGAAGCACTCGGACAATACAGGTGCGGCGTTTGGCATAGAATGCCTGTTCTATAGTCTAATACCTTTAGTTGCAATGAATACCAGCAGTCCACCTCCAAAGTGTCAGCCAGGAGAAATACCAATTCGCGTGCTCAAGAAAAATGCCACAAAATTCGAACGTCCCAGTGCCAAATTGCAACAAGCGCGGGAAATCCACGAGGTTCCATGAGTTTTTCGTTTTGGTAAATTGACTTTGCACATTTTGTAGCATGCCGTGTATCGTTAATATGATCGACGAGCACGAGCATCTGGAAACCAAATATTGAAACTCCTGAAAGCTCCTTCACCCTCTCTCAGCTTTGGCTGGCGGACGGGATGGGAAGCACAATCGAAGCTGGGTGGCATGTACGTAAACCAAGCCCGCCAGCTTTTCAATGATATACACGCTAACATGCATTGATGCTTAAGGTGTATCCTCGTTTATACGGTGGGAGCGAGGAGCCCACTTGTTCATTTACTGGGATGGCTACAAATCAACTGGTTGCTATAACTTGGTTGTCCCCCTGGATTTGTCCAAGTGAGCAGCAGCGTCGCGCTTGGAGGCGTTCTAGCGCCATACTCTCAGCGAGGAGGAGCTCAATATGATATCACGTTCACTCTGTTCCAGGTTAGAACAAAAGAGGAGGGGGAGAGGTGTTCACGGGATTGATGCAGGGGCCCTCGACGAAGGCGTGGTGGCTTCAAGTTGGCGGACAGACCATTGGCTACTGGCCTTCTTCTTTGATTCCAAATCTCGCCAGCGGGTCGCTCAGTTTGGTGGCGAAGTCTACTACAAAAGAGTGAGGAAGATCCAAACTTTGGAACAACATCGCAAATTGATCGCCATGCTACTACGCAGATGGGGAGTGGCGAGTTTCCAGCAGCCGGTTTCGGAAACGCTGCCTTCCATCGAAATCTATTCAAAGTTTCGGTGAATGGCGGGACCTTGTACTTTGAGCCGCTCGGGAATCTGGGAGAAAAGCACGAATCTTCTTCCTGTTACAAGATAGGAGAAGTAGTCTTCAGAAACGGGAAGAATAGCTTCTTCTATGGAGGGCCTGGTATTAGTGCAGCATGTCCTTAGTATTGAACCTACAGCTCCCATGACTGAGTCTCTGCTAGACATGTCTATACTATGAACGGTAACGAAGCTGCAAAATTTCTGAAGTTAGTCAAGGATACGAGCAAAGAACACTACTTACCAAGTTTGTGTGCTCTTCAAACACTTCTCCGAAGCAGTGCACTGTAAAATGGTGCCAAGAATCACAAATAGTTCTCTCAGCTTCGAAAGAAGGTCAGCGCCTCTGAAAGTTCAAATGCTTGATGCACACCGCAAAGACGAGAGCAAAGGTAGCGATGAAGACGACTTGCATGGCGGCTGCTCGGCTTACAAATGAGAGCTCGAAGTTGAAGTGATCCTTCATGAACTGCCTCACCGTCTTCGGAGGCTGGTCTGGGATTGCCAGGAGTGTGTCGACGTCGCCAAGCTGCGAAGTAAACAGGCCGTAGACGGTCCATGCCACCGGATTTGCCCAGTAGTACCATCTCCACCACACGGGAATTCTCTGCAGCCAAAACAGCCAAGCTAAGAGCAGAAACGCTTGAACGGAAGGATCCACGAACCTTGTATGGTATGATGAAGCCCGCGAAAAGGTTCCAAACTCCGAAGAAAAATGCCGAGACAACTGCTGCGATCTGCTCGTTTGGAGTCAATGCAACAGCCATCATCCCATAGAGCGTGTAGTAAAGAAGTCCCGAGAATGTGAAGAAGAAAAAGTAGGACACTTTGACGATGCTCCATTCGAATCCAATCATGGAGTACGTAATGGAGCCATAAAGAAGAGTTTGAACCAGAGCATATGGAACTTCCACAAGCACCTGGACAAAAGGAATGATCGTCTTGACCACAGAAGGAAAAAAGAATCTCGTTACCTGAGCAAAAGCGTAGGGAAGCGCAGAATACATTCCGGCAGCTCTTTCGCGGTAATACGCAGTACGCTCCGTTGCCACAACCGGTTGAACCGTGGATGCGTTGTTTACACCCAGGAAAAGAACTGCTGAATAGAGAACGCCAATCAAGTTAAACAAATCTTGCTGCTTGCTTCTGCGGCATACAAATAAGTCCGTTGTTACAATTTGGTTTCAAGGAAGCACGACTAATAATACCTTCGGGTTCCAAGGTCCCAGAAAATTCCACCAAACAATACAGCTGACACGGCCGTAAAAAACATACGAATCACGCAGTACTGAGGATTTCGCCAGTATGATAGATGTTGCTTCCAAAGGCAAATCGCACACTGTGAGATAAATGCCTGAGGATATTTCGTCGGGAAGTGCAGCTCCGGAGTGTCTTTCGAGCTCTGAATTGTCTCCCTGATAAGAGCCTCATTTTGTCTGCATAAACACAGTTAAGTGGCTCGCACAGAATTAAATATAACCTACTCGCATAGAGATGACTTCCTGTAAACTTCTGCAAAATCGATTTCGAGACGAGCTTCAGACATTTGAGACGTTACTTCCAATATCCAGGTAGCAGGGTTGTGACCATCTTTGATTTTTGGTACGCCAGGAACACCCTGTGAACAAGACGGTTATCACTATAAAAAAAACAGATGCGCCCAAGGTACCTCAAAGTAATGGATGGCTTCAGCAGAAAATTTACCAAGGGGACCTGCATAAATTAATTGTCCACCTCGTTTCATCAAGAAGAGCTGCCATAAACCACGATCAGAGAGCGAGAAAAGAATGAGCAAAGGCTTACCTCGTCAAAGGCTTCGAATATATCTATGCTGGGCTGATGTATAGTGCAAACTACGGTTCGTCCTGTGTTAACGGTGTTTCGAACTGTTCGCATGACAATTGCAGCAGCTCGTGCATCTAAGCCTGACGTAGGCTCGTCCATGAAAATTATCGAAGGATTAGCAACCAGCTCCACAGCAACAGTCAAGCGCTTCCTTTGCTCAACGGATAGCCCAGTAACTCCGGGCACTCCAACTAAAGCACCTCTTAGAGATGCAAGCTCGACAAGCTCCAGAACTTCTTCAACAAACATCTGTACAGTGTATGTAGTTGAGTACTTCTCAAAGCGCAAGAACTGCAACTTACCGCTCGAGTGGATCTGTCAACCTTTTCCGACAAACGCATCCACGCTGAAAAGATCAAGGATTCCTCCACAGTCAAATTTGGAGAATGGATATCATTCTGTTCGCAGTATCCTGAGACCCGAGCAAATGTTTCCTGCTTTTTTGGGCGACCCGCTACTATAATTTCCCCTTCAATGTATCCACCGGTTTTCCTACCGGCCAAAACGTCCATTAGCGTTGTTTTTCCTGCGCCACTTACGCCAAGAAGGGCTGTGAGAATTGCAGGCCGGAAAACACCACTAATGTCTTGAAGAAGCTGTAGTTTGTTGCCTTGATGTTTCATCTCCTGCAATTGCAAACGGTCATTTACTTGATGTGTCTAGCAGTGTGATGGCTGCTTACAGGAGGCATATCAACAAAATAGCTGATATGATTAAACGCTAGCGATAAAGGTTGAAATGGTAACACCATCCCCTTCAAATAAGTTTTGAGCCTGCCACTTTCTCGTGATTGCAATTCAATACCTGTAAAAACATTCACATAGAAGAGTAAGAATTAGAAAAAAAAGAAGAAGAAGAAGCGAAACACATGTTACCTTCTTCGATATCACGTAGACTATCAGGCTTTGACGAATCCACTTGTTGTAAATATATGCGTGGAGCGTCTGATGATCGTTCATTTAACATGTCCTTAGGAACAATGGCTTGTGACTTGCCAATAGCTAACAGAACTTGAATGAGAACACATTGGAACGCTTAAAACAGCTGCTTACGGTTCAGGTAAGTCATTGCCAGAATAAATCCAATATTGAACAGAGTGGCAAATCCAGTGACTGCTCCGACACCGATCCAGTACCAGTACCACTTTGGAAATAGTCCACGTGTTAATAGTATAGCTTCTCCAACTGTGCTGGAAAAGTTCGATGGCTGAAACAAACTTATCAGTCGATCAGTTTGCCATAATTTTCTAGCGCGTAAAGTTGCTACCTTTTGCCATCTGGGTGCAAGAAACTCGTTCACCGCAATCGCATTTTGCCCATACATTAGAGGAGAAGTCCAGTATCCCCATATCCACCACGGATGTATGTCCTCTGCATACAAAACGAGATTTATGGCATATAGAGAAATAGTAAACATTACCTCTGCTTATAACGAATCCCCCCAGACAAATAATGACGAGTATAGCAAAAGCCCCGAAGGTATTTGCTATAACCATCGTCCGTCCCAAAGCAGCAATCAATCTAAAAAGACCTTGAGCCATTTGATTGACAACAAAAAATATTAACACTTGTCCAAAAAATCTGAAAAACGAAGATCAAAGTTAGATAAATAATAACTGGCTTATACCTGCTCCATTGCGGTGCAAATCCTATCACCCAGTACGTAAGTATTACCCATGCTCCCGCTTCAATTAATGAAATAGGAAGTCTGGTAATAATCATGGGCCAAGCATACGCCCATGCAGGATAGAACAACGAATCCCTTTGCTTGTAGAAAACTGGAAGCCTGAAGATGGTCATGGCTAAGTCAGCAAACCCGTTAAACATGCCCGTCAGCAAGGCAAAAAACATAGCTCCAAGGAAGACAACTCCATCGTCTACGGTTTGGTGCTTCATTTCAGTTCTTATAAATACGGTCATGGCGATAGCAGCAGTAATTAAAATCTGTCATGGCAAACTGTAAGTATGCAGATGATAGAGAAAGAGGTTACCTGGAACACTGCGAAAACATAAACGAAGGCGTTCCGCTTTATGAGCAGCACTTCTTTTGCAAGACAAGCCCGAAATAATCCCCAGCTGCTCAGGGCATATCTTTGTGTCACAAGAGCGGCAGGATGACTGCTGGCTTTGTCGAATGGTTTCTCAAGTTCTTCAGCAAGCTTCTGGCCAGCCGAAAAGCCCTCAAAAGCCCTCTGAAAGTCGTCAACTGAAACGTAGCTGTAAGCTCTTGTACCAGTCCAATATTGAGCTTGATCTTTCCTCGATGTTACCTGCGTATCAACAACATTAAAATCAAGCCGTTTGATGTGAAACTGGTTTACCTCTTGAAGGAAGTCAGCAACACCTTTTCTCTTAGGACACTTGAAGCCTTGCGATTCAAAAAACTCTAAAACCAGTTCACGAGGTCCATGATAAACGATCCGTCCCTCTGATAACAATATAACGTCGTCAAACTGGCCAAATGTTTCGGGTGCAGGCTGAAGCAGAGAGATCAGTAGAGTGGCATCCATCACATGCACGAACTGTCTCAAACACTGAACAACTTGAAACGCCGTGGAACTATCCAGGCCCGTGGAAATTTCATCCATAAACAACGCTTTCGCAGGGCCAACCAGCATTTCACCTGTAGCAAAATCAGAAGGTGACTATACAAAGAATCTGACAGCTGAACCTGTTGTCACCCTTTTCTTCTGACCGCCGGAGATTCCTCGATGCATCTCGTCTCCAACAATGACATCAGAGCAATTTTCAAGGTCAAGTATCTGTCAGGACACACATACAATTAGTCACGGTTGCAAGTAAGCAGATGCTCACACACCTTCATCACGTAATCAGTCACAAGGTTCGTCTGCTGACCCTGCAACGAAGTTGCCTGAGAAATCCAAAAATCCATCAGCAAGAGTCGTAAACATACGAAACAAAAAATATTACTTTCATGAAAACGTCAATGTCCGCATCCGGTTTGATTCCAAGCGCCTTTTCCCTCCTCAGAAGTTCAGAAAGCATTTCTGCCACAACGAAACATCAATATATAAAACACTCACCGATATTACCCGTTACCGTATTTGCTACCAACCCCTTGGCAGCAAGCGGAGAAATCAAGAGTTTCCCTGACAGTCATTTGCCCGCTGTGTAGATCGCTTTGACTGATGTACGCAGCAGTCCTTTGCGGAACAAACTCGTCCATTTGATGTCCATTGTATGTGACATTCCCGGTGACCTGATAAAACAAGTACTTTTATGTCTCGTCCTTGTCTCATGCATACTTGTAAATCCTTGTTCAGTTTTCCTGCCAGAGCCAATAAAAGCGTCGTCTTTCCAGATCCGGGTGGTCCAAGGAGTAGCGTCAATCTGTGGAAAGAACAATTTAATAAAGGAAACGAACTCGGTAACTTTTCACCTGGAAGGTTTGATGATCCCGCTGGTATCTCGTAGTATTGTGAGAGTCCTCTTGTTAGAGGAAGGCAGGTGCAGCGCGCTGAGCAGACTCTGCAAAGTTTGTCGATACAACAACAGGAGAACGTTTATGAAAAGAGCACCTCGGCCGAGTTGTTGATGAAGTTAATAGGCGTTGGAAGAGCCCTGCTTCCCACGTGGACCTTCGCTTGCACATTTAAGTGCTCAAACCTCACCTCGATCTTGGGGAGATCAATGCGGACCCTGGGAATCGTAAAGCACACCTGAGATAACACACTGTGAAGTCTAAACTTACCTGTTGATGCGATCACGAAGTCTCAACAGTAGACGCTCGTTATCCTCTTCGGCAGTCGGAATAAGCCTGGACAAAATCCTCCGCCTGTCTTGCACATCCAGCTTCGAAACGTCAACTTCAGCCTGAGTATCAGCAGCACAGCCATTCTTTGCTGCATTGTCACTGAGCAAAATCCCCTTCCTTGCACGCTCAACTGTAGGCAGCCTCTCGAGAGCAGCCCATATCAGCAACTCCCCATCATCCAAATCCCTGTGGAACGAGCCGGTGCTAGAGAACGCATCGCTGAGCCGGCTTGACGTGCTTCTCTGCATCTTTGCTAAGAAAAGTTCATCTCCAATCCCAAAAGCACGCCTTATATCTTCTGAACTCAGAGAAGCCGTGCAAGCAGTCATACGGACATCTTTGGCAATCGGCGACGCACACGTCGTCATTCCTAGTGCTGGTTTCTTTGCTGGTAAAACTTGGCTTCATCCAAGGACACAATCCTGGTTTTGCATAATCCGCCTTGTTGGACTGGTAGGTCCGCTGCTGATACCATCATTTCTCCAATGGATCATCTCGACGGCTGTCGACGGCTGGGCCTTCTCCATAGCTCTAGCGTGACATGAAATTACGTCGGCCAATGCTCTGTGGCTCACACTTTCTTCACGAAAGTTCAACATCGTACCAGCAAAAGATGCCTTTCACTGCCATGGTATTCTAAGGTTTCCAAGTGATCTGCTCGGCTAGCACTCACCAGATCTGTGACAGCAACAAGAAGACGAATATTAATTAGCGCAAAACAATTGAAAACAACGATAAAAACACTTAGCTCTGTGGCTAGAAGATGTCGACGACCACTTGACAGAAACACGCAACTTACTTGGAAGCAACAGTGGACCCAAATCTCAGAAAAACCATACAAGCTGGTCCCGATTGTCGTAATAGAATGACAACGATCGTAAGCTTTTACCATTATTCCGATCTTTTGGCCACTCTCGCCCTCTATTGCATTTCGGCATTTAAATCACACGAGAGGCACGTAGCTTACACCCATCTCAGTTCGTTTTTTAATGGACCCGTCTGAAAGTTTGTCTATGACAACTAGATCCTGCATTAACATCTGGTTGCGTATAAAATTTACTAGAAACAACCACTTACCTGTAAGAAGCGTCCTACTGGAATCACCATACGGCCACCGGGTTTGAGCTGGTCTACAAGCGCTTGCGGCATTTCTGGCAGCCAGCAATACAAGAGTTAACAAAAGCGGTAAAAGCCAAAGAGAGACTCGAATATTACCAGCAGCTGCCGCTCCAACATGAATTGCATCGTAAGGTGAACAAGCCGGAAAGCCAAGCTTGCCATCTCCAGCTTTTACACACAGCGCACCGCATCAGAGTGAATCAGCACAGAAGAAGACAATGCATACCGTGGACGGACAGAGCTCCAGCGTCAAGAAGCGACACCGCTGGTGTTCTTCTGATGTTTTTTATAGACGACTCCACAAGCTCGGGGATGTGCTCAATTCCCACAGCTTTTCCAGTTTGTCCAACCTTCAAGAACACACACACAATAAAAACTGAGCTCATCAGTTCGTTCAGACTCACCATCAACGCGAAGACCGCAGTCAAGTAGCCGGAGCCGGATCCAACATCAAGCACTGCCATTCCCGGTTTGAGATGATCCGCGAGCATGGATACGCAGTAACCATGCTGCCAGAAACACTTTCACTCCTGCTTGCTACTAAAACGTGTTTCTTACCATGTGTGGAGCTGAGATTGTCGCGCCGTGCCCTGCGAAAAACAAAGAGTGACAAGCCTTCTACGAGAAAAAACATAAGTCCCCACAAAAACAAAAGCAAAGACAATTATCCTCTACTCTCAAACGAGCAAGCAAACAAAAGAAATTTAAGCACTGTCCATACCAATCGGCTGGGGCGCATCTTGATACGGCGATCCTCCCCGCGGCACGAAAAACGCTCTGTCGATCCTCGCCATCGCGTCAGTCGCGGCGGCAGAGCTCAGGATTCCATTCTCTGCGACAAAACAAAGCCAGCGATCTCACATGAAACAGCTCCAAACAAGCGCAATGCGGGGCGATCTGACAGCTGACATACTCTGGAGGTTTGCGATCAGCTCCTCGTTGCTCCTGCCGTGGCACCTCCAGCTCATCGCGCGCAAGAGCCCTAAGTTCTGCCCTAGCCGGCGATGCCGATGGCATCTTTTAAATTTTTGAAATGGACACGCTACCGCGCGAAAGTTTCAAACTGCTACCAACCATAGGAAAGAACGGAAAGAAGAGAATTTGCCCAAAGCATTAAAAACGCTGGCCACCAGCCAGCAAAGCCCAACCACGCCACACCACCACCTTTAAAGAGGGCAAAAAACAAACAAATCACACAGTCACGCGACCTTGTTTGACAAGAATTGACCAGAGGAGTCAACGCGTCCACGAGAAATTACTCGGGGCTAGGGCATTGACCAATTTTGACCACCATTGACGGAGAAGTCAACGCGAAGATCCCTTTGTGGCATTCAATGCCCGCGCAACAACACCACCAACTACGAACAAACGCAGGTCGTCGCGCTTATAAGAAATTCCTGGGGAGAAGACGATGAGCGAATCAATCCCCTCACATTAATTCCACCCATTGACTTCGCTGGCCGTGTAAGTAGTAGTGTGTGTTGGTGCTGTTGCTCAGTGCTGCTGGCTTGTTCTAAACTTTTTTTCTTTCTCTTTTGGCCCCCATCCATCTTCTCTTTTGCCTGTCTTCTCCAACACACTTTGATGAGCCCCACCAGCCATGGCCAGCCAGCTTTGGTGCCTGCAATTGATTGCAAAGTGAGTGGAGCGAGGAAAAGAACTTAACGAGAGAGAAGAGGGGCATTATAAGGACCCCGTGCTTAGCATTCGCGGCCAAATCCACCACTCTCCCTCTTTTCCTTTCCCCATCACTCCCTTGAATTTACCTCCACAACGCTTGCTTATCTCTTCTTCAAACTCCACCAGAGGAGCGCAGGGGAGTAGCAGCAGCAGCGCTGGGATCGAATCAAGGACGTGCCTGGAGGAAAACGATTCCTGAGTACTTCCCAAAAGCGAAAAGAAAGAAAAAAAAAAAAGACCACCACCACTCTCACCTCCAGGAAAGGTACAAATCCCGAGTCCCGAGTAGCGACTTAGTCCGGATATCTCGTCGTCTGTGCAGGCAAATCCACAGGCCTGTTCCAGCAATGTTGAAGCAGCAGCACCACCACCAAGTCACAATTCATGGAGTCAAGACCGTGGTTTCAATTCATCCCTCCCAGCTCGCAATCCACCCCGTCTCCAAGCTCGACAGCATCCTCGGCAACTTCTACCTCCACACTGTCATCTACTTCGACAAGGTACCTACTTCCTCTCCCTGGGAAGTCGAAAGAGAGGAGCTCAACTTCTCCCTGGCCGAAGTTCTCGATCTTTTCCCCTCCGTGAGCGGGAGGCTGCGGGTGCTGGACAACGGCAACCTGGGAATCAAGAGCAACGATGCCGGCATCCGAGTCGTGGAAGCAACCTGCGACTCGAGCCTCCGGGAGTGGCTCGAGGCGGAAAAGGACGGATCCAACCGGCAGCAGCTTCTTCCGGAGGTCCGAATCTCCGACTACAGCGTCTCTCCGCTGCTCGCCATCCAGGTAAGTTTGTGTGCCTCCGGAGAAAGCAACACGAAACCAATCCCTTCTTGCAGTATACTCTGTTCCGCGGCGGAGGCCTCGCTCTCGGACTAAGTTGGTGCCACATTCTCGCCGACTTCATGTCCATGGACCTGCTGGTGAAGCTCTGGGGTGAGGCTCACCGGAAGCAAGGCAAGCTCTCGTCACGTCCCACGTCCAGCGTCGACGTCACCTCGGCCGACGTCCAGCTCCCGCAGCCATTCGCGCACACCAACTTGAGCATCAAGGCGTCGGAGCTGGACACCCGCGTCTTCCACTTCGGCTCCAAAGTGGTCGAGGCGATCACGCGCGAGTCCGGCGGCGGCGGCGGCGAGACGGAGGCCCTGTGCGCCGCGGTGTGGAAGGCCGTCGTCAAGGCGCAGGAGCAGCCGAGCAGCGGCAACTCGCGGTTGTGCTTGTGGAGCAACACCAACTTGGAGCGGAACCGCGGCTACTTTGGAAACTCTGCCACCGCCTTTAAGTTCGTGGACGCGGTCTCGCCGCTCGGTCAGTCCAGCGTGAGCGACGTTGCAAAGGCGATCCAGCTGGGGACCAGGACCAACGGATCCTACAAGTGCGCCTCCTCCTTCTTCGCCAACAACGTTCTCTTTTGCAACTGGGCCGCCAACGTTCCCGTCTACGACGATGCCGACTTTGGCTTCTCCAAGCCGTTCTACGTCGAGTTCCTGGCGGCTCCGCTCTTCGGCGAGGGGATGGTGACCATCGCTCCCGGCCGCGAAGGCGGGCGCAGCAAGAGCGTGTGCGTGTCTCTTCAATCCGAAGCCATGAAGAGGCTGCTGCAGGAAAGTTATTTTGGTAGCTCCTCCACCAAGCCAGCTAACGGCGTGATCTCTTGACGCATCACGCATTTCTAAACTCGTTTGTGAAACGCTCCAAGATCGTCCTAGGAGAGGCGATGAATCCCTGTAATCTATTTCTGCCAGAAAAAACGGGAAAACGTCCGTGCGTTTGGAATGGAATAAGAGAAGATGAGGAAGTTCTCACCTCTATAATTGAGATCCAGCGACTGATCAAGTCGATTTATCGTGTAGCCTGCCAGAGGAAAAGAGAGACAAGAACTTCGAAATGGCTTTACATAGCTGGAGCGGACAATGACTGTTTGCCCGGAAAAAAAGATTATGATTCGAGCACGCGATTCGATCGTTTTGCTGGAATGGAACTGTAAGAGAGCCCGCGTGTAGGACACAATCGCCTCGGCCGTGCAATGGAGTACCTTGTGATAATTGTCTATAAGGTCGAGCAAGGTCCGAATCCAATCCAACACGATCTCTATCACTTCGAGAGATAGATGCCCTGACAAAAGGCACAAACTTTACACAAGCAAGGACGAGTAGAAAAGAAAAAATCTACAACAATACCAGTTTCGTGGATGAGCTCCATTGCGATGTCAATGGTACTGATTTCTTGAGTTCCATACCCACGGATCAAGAATATAGCTCGGGAGAGAGCTACATTCTCGGGGCTTTTGGGGCGGAGTTTTAGGGTTAGGAGCTCAGGAGCTTCGGGCAGTTGGGATGGAATCCGGCCGCATAGTGGGCAGTGCTCGGTCGCTTTGCTATGCCCCGTGAGTCCTACCTTTCCCAGTTAACTCTAAACAGTTAGTCGAGTAACTTAGTATTTATATGGTTTTCTTTAGACGCATTTGTCCAGAGATCAAGATTTTTCTACTATTATCATGAGATTTATCTCTATTCTTTCTCATATATGGTATCAAAGGTTTGAGTTCAATTATAGCTCATTCTACTGAGGTTGTTCTTGAGCCATTAGTTTTTACAAGTGACAGTTACAACACAGCTGGAGTGTTCACATATCCAATGCCATCTTGGTAGTGATTGTTTCACCAAGATGGCACAGTTTCATCCTCTAGAAGAAGAACTTCTAAGCATTGGCAATTGGATGGTGTTTGATATATTTGCATTTCACAAAGTATATTATAGTGATTTAGATTTAGTTAAGAGTTCCAAGTTAATTGGAACCATATTGTCAACAAGTTTGGAAGGGATGGAAAAACAAGTTTTGTCACCTTAAAAATTGGAATAGGATATTAATTAAATTGTTCAGGAGTACTTAAATCACTTTTAGTATGCTTTCAATTAATTCAAAAGGTTACATTTGGTATAGAGAAGTCTCAAATTCAACTCTGCTATAAAGAATATCCATTTGTATATAAATACTTTCTTTTTTTTCTCTCTCTTATTTTTCTTCTCTTCTTCTCTTGAACTTTAATTTTTCTTGTATAGATATGAGATATATGACTTGAAAGAGGATAGAACTTTACCAAGATTCAGCTCATCATAGCAGTAGGTTTTTTGGCACAGATTCTATTGTTAAAGAAGATGTCATAGTTATTTAGACACCTACTTTGTTACATAGGTTTGTAGTGTTCTTCTATTGCAAATTTTATAAATCTTTCTTTTTTATAATTTTTTTTCTTATCAAATATGTTGTGGGTGCTGTAAGGCATGAATTTCCAGACAAATCATAGCTACTATAATCTTTTTATCAATGTTTATAGGAAAAGCTTGAATATAAAAGATGCTAAGAATTGAGGCTCTTTACATTCTGAATTAGGAAACTTTTAATGTCTTAATAAATTGTTACATAGTTCATTTGGAAAGGTTGAGGAACTTTTCATCCAGATGCAAAATCAAGGTTACAATTCTATTAACTCGTATAACTTTTGTTTACTTGTTATAGGACCTAGAGAAATACGTGTGAACCAAGTAATGATATAGATAATTGTTATCTATGGCAATGTAGTGTTTAAACTTCATAGGGAACTTGAAGATTAATTAGGCAAGAGAGCCTTACAAGGAAGAGATGCTTTTTACACTAAAGATTGTTGAAAGCATATGTGATTAGCATCAACTATAGGAACACACTCCATCCCTTCCACACATGCTTGCTCAGGCTTAACAATATAGGCAATTCTTGAGAATCTAGAATAATGCAACAAGCAAACTCTTTAGCGAGCATTGCCAAAGTGTAGTGGTTTTCTCTATAGTCTTAAAAGTATTTTTCCATTTATATAATCTTGCAAGTTGATTATATGATTGTGACTTTTGCTTCTGACTACTACACACAACATCAAATTTGCAAATGACTAGACAAGCATGCATAGCATATAGTGGTAATGGCTGCAATACTAAAAAGAAGAAGAAGAAGAGATAATTTTAATAGGGTAATTTATTTTATTTATAAGCATGAATTAACATTATGAGCACCACTCATTAAATTGAGTTTTCATTTTAGATCTCAATTTTATCTGATAGAACAACTATATAGACATACTACTTAATAAAGTATTGTGTTTTAGGTATTTGTAAAAATGATAAGTAGGCTCTAAATATATAAGTACACCCCTTTTTTATACAAGGTGAACATGCCACACTATCACAAGCTATCAAGGAGTAAGGTTGTTTATTCACATTGGTTGAGAGCAAAAATACATAAAATTTGGAGTTTGATCCATATTTCAGTATGTTGATAATCATGTGTAATTGCTATGCAAAGGCCTCCATGCAGCATTTACATAAACTCTAATTACTTATATTCTTTGTAAGTGCTTCTATTTTGTATAGATAGGTGAATTCTTTTGTTCTATGTTTAAATAAATCTAAAGTTTCAAAAACTTCATAGAATTTACTTTTGCATCCTTAATGTTATGCATCCTCTTTTTCTACTTGGGCATAGCTCAACATGTACTCCATAGCTTCCACCCTAGACATATAATGATCTTTGCTAATATTATTTTTGAAAGCAATGGAGCGCAACTCATGGATTACCCTTTTTATCTTAAAGATGGAATTGTTGGCTTTTCTAATTGTAGAAAAGGCCTTGATGCAAGAGAGCTAATGTCATTAGTATATTTGCTAGGAGAAAATCTCTGTAATGCAATGCTAAAAGTCAAATGACAAAAAGTTTGAAAACAGATATTACTTCAAAATATTTTATGTGAAGTTAAAGTGATTGAATTCAATGTTTCTTATAAAGATTATATCTAGTTGTTATAAACTAATATAATTATCTAGACTTTTATGAATAAGCACATCTTTAAGCTTTAAAATATATATGTATATATAGGAGTTTGTTAAGCTGTATATTTATAAATTAAATTATTTTTACTAAAAATTGATATAATTATCTCTGAGTTAATTTTAAAAGTCAGCAATTTTAGTTTATTAGGACAGTTTAAAGATTAGATTTATTATTAAATTTTTCTTATAAAAACTTCATTATTATTATTTTCCTCTGATATTTTAACAAATGAAAATGTTGAGCAGATCATGAAAATCAACATATAGTTTATATTAATTTATTTCATATGTTATGTATGTACTTTAAAAAGATTTACAAGATTGTTTTTGAACAATGTTCTATCTTAGTAAGACATCATTAGAAATTTATTTTCGTCTAGGACAGCAGAGCTGGATTCCTTGCTAGTTCATCAATATATTTTTGAAAAATTAAGCTATAAAATTGAATTGGAAACTGGCTTGCCATGTTTTAATTTTTTAATCATACATTTATATTAGTAAAACATCAGCTAAATCCAGTTGTTATAAGAAGCATTCTAAATAGAATCTCAGTTAGATAAATGCTATCAAAGCTAGACAAATCTTTCTCATAACTACCCAATATCAGCTTTTGTCAATATCTGACTTCCAGATAGAAAAATCACGATGTACTTATTCTCTGATCCTCACTAAATCATGTCTCTCACAATCGTCACCAAATCACATCTCTCGCTACTTTGCATGGTCACCTGCCACTCCAGGCAGAGCGTGTTGGGATATATCAAAAAATTTGTGGAACTTTACTCGCAAGCCAAGGAGAACTAAACAATCTGAAGGATATAGTTGCACTTTGAGTTGAAGTTGTCCAAGCCTGATCAAGCCCACACAAAAGGCCAGTCAGTCAGGCCAAAAATTATTGAGAAAAACAATATCATTCCATTAGTGATTGCTGGCTCGACCTCGAATGCACAAAATGATACAAAGAACGTTTGACATCATGCAAACTCACTGAATACGCATCATGAAGCTCTAACTTCGGAACAGATGAGTCACAAGCCTGAACAAACTGCTTCCTCTGCAGAAAAGCAGGAAAAATACACAAGATAAATCAACCATTCCATTCTGCAGGAGCAAAAGATGGGTGCATGTGTGAGTATCAGCTTGCTTAACACTTGAATTTATCCCTAACTAAACAAATAAAGTATAGTTTATAGATTCATCCGCTCATCTGCACGGCAGCATTTGTGCCACGTCATTACAAGATGTGTTGCTAGCCAAGTCAGCTATTCTACCTCTTTTTCTTGTGTTTTCCGCGACGGGGATAAGGAAATGGCGCCAGGACGAGAGATTGTTTGCAAAGGTCTGGTCCCGCAATCTTCTTTCGGTTGATCGATCGATCTTTTCTTCCTCCAGCAGCAGTGTCCTGGGAGCCGGAGCAGCTCTCTGTCGAGGACATTCTCCTCGGATGTCAGAGTGCGAAGTGAGATTGGAATTTTGGAAGTCCCTTTCATCTTTAGAACCCCACAAAAAAGCTCGAATATAGCCTGTAGGCCCCGCATGCTCCTGGTGAACAGCACATAAAGCAATGGACTCTCCTGTATTTCTAAGAAGAAAGTCTTATAGAGAGCATACCCACCATCCGGCCAAAGCATCTCAATGCTGAAGGACTTAGAAAGAGTAAAGATTGGAAGAGAATTTGAGACAGTAAGAGGCGGCCTGGAGCAGCACGATTAGTGTAGATGCAAGTAGAAAACCTCACGTCATTGCAAAGCATGCTCGAGAAAACCTCGAAGTCATCACAAAGTGCCGCTTAGCATGTTTCTATCGAGGGCAAGCTTTTTCCAGCTTAAGAAGGAAAAAAAAACATCGGCATGCTCGTATAAACAATGGAAAGCAAAACTCGATGGCCATGCTAGAATCCCCACATTATTCTTTTTTAAAAAAAATTCAAAAACCAGAAAAGAAAATATGCTGGGCGGAAAAATACTGCGGCCAAAATTTGTTTTTACAAGTGTATGGGCACACACAATCGATCGCGCATCATTCGTGCCATCTGGTCAAATCACCCTACCCCTGTGACCTACGAATTGCCTCCAAACAGCGCCAGGGGCGTCCCCTTCCTCCTGGGGCCCTCCTGGAATGCGTTGCCACCTTGGAACGCGCCCTCGGCCCGGGGAGCTCTGCCATCCGTGAATCGCGCTGCCTCCTCTTTAGTCATTGCGAAATACCCTGGTCGTGTGACAATACTTTCTACTCAATCAAATAGTGTTCTAACATTCTTGTTTGGAGCAAATTCTCTTGGATAATGGTCCCACATTTATGGCTAAGGCATATCACATTTTAATATCTCGGCTGGGGACATGTCACACTTTCACAAGTGTTTATCATCCACAGACAGGTAATTTGGTGGAACAACTCATTTAAACTTTTAAGGGGATAATTGCAAAGTATGTGAATTTACAGCATTTGGATTGAGATGGTTA